CTATCATTTCATCTATATATCCATCAATCCATCCATCTATTTATTCATAAATCCATTCTTCTATCTATCCAACCATCATTCTATCAATCTATCTATCAATCCCTCTGTCTATCTCTCTATAATCCATCCACCTATAAATCCATCTATCCTTCTATCCATTCCTCTATCCATCCATTATCCATCTATCCATTCATTAATCTGTTCATCTATCAATCCATTAATCTATCTACCCATCTATTCATCTAATGATCCATCTATCCATCCATTTATCCATCCTTCCATCCATCCATCTATTTATCCCTCCATTTGTCAATCGACCCATCTATCAATTCATCTATCCAACCACCATTTTATCCATCCATCCATCAATCCATCCGTCTGTCTATCCATCCATCCATCTATCTATATATCTGTCTTTCCATCTATATATCCATCAATCCATCCATCTATCTATCCATCAATATATCCATCCATCTATCTATCTATCTATCTATCCATTCATCAATCTATTCATCCATCTATCCACCAATCCATTCCTCTATATATCTATTCATCCATCTATTGATCCATCTATCTATCCATCTCTCTCTATCCATCCATTTATCAATCCATCCATCTGTCTATATATCCATCTATCTGTAAATCCACCTGTCTGTCCCTGTATTTATCCATATATCCATCTATCTATCCATCCATCTAACCATCTTTCCATCTAGCCATCCATCATTCCATCCATTCATCAGTCTATCAATCCATCTATACTTTCATCAATCATCCATCTTCATATCTATCTATCTATCTATCCATCCATCTATTTGTCTATCGATCCTTCTATCCATCCATCTCTCTATTCATCCATTCATCCATCTATCCATTCATCCACCTATTCATCCATCCTTGTATGAATAGATCTGTCTCTCCAGTCATCCATACACCCGTGTATCTATCCATCCATTATAACCATATACCCATCTAGCCATCCTTCATTCCATCCTTCCATCCATCCATCTATACATCCATCAATTCACCCATCTATTTATCCATCCATCTTTATCTCTATCTATCAATCCATTTGTCTATCGATCCTTCTATCTATCCACCCATCAATACATCTGTCTCTCCATCATTCATCTATCCATTCATCTATCTAACCATCCATCCTTCTATGAATCCATTTGTCTATCCTTGATTCATCCATCTTTTCATCTATTGAATCATCCTTCTATCATCCATCATTCCATCTATCTACCCATTAATCCATTTTTCTATCCATCTATCCATCTATCCAACAACCTGTCCGTCTATCCTTCTATCCATCCATCCATCTATCTATCCATCTATATATCCATCAATCCATCCATCTATTTATCCATATCTATCCATGTATCTATCTATTAATCTGTCTGTATATCCGTTCATCCATCCATCTTTCCGTCCATCCATGCAACCATCTATCCATCCATCCATTCTACCATCTATGCATCTATCCATCCACCAGTCCATTCTTCTATCTATCCATCAATCCATCCATCCCTCCAACCATCTACCTATCTATCCATACACCCATCCATCAATCTATTCTTCTATGAATTCATACATCTATCCATTCGTCAATCCATCTGTATATCCATTTATCCATCCATCTTTCCATGCATTTATCAATCCATCTGTTCATCTGTCTATCCATCTATCTAACCAGTTATCCATCTACCCATCATTCCATCCATCCATCCATCCATCCCTGTACCCATCTATCCATCCATTCCTCTATGTATCCTTCCATCCATCCAACTATCCATCTATCATTATACCCATCTATTTATCTATCTATCCATCAATCTATCCTTCTCTATCTATTCCTCCATCCCTCCATCCTTCTATCCATCCATTCAACCATCTACCTGTCCATCCATCCATCCATCCTCTGTCAACCCATCTGTCTATCCATCGAATTATCCATCCATCAGTCCATCTGTCTATTCATGCATCCATGTATCCATTTATCCTTCAACTCATTTATGTATTTATATATCCATTGATCTCTCTATTTATGTATCTATCCATCCATTCATCCATCTCCCCATCCGTCCATATGTCCATCCATCCATCAATCCATTAATCTATTTATCCATCCATCTATGGATCTATCTATCCATGCATCCTTCAGTCTGTCTATCTATCCATCCATTCATCTCTCTATTCATCCATCTATCTATCTAACCTTCCATCTAACCATCTATCTATCCATCATTTTATGCATCCATTCATCAATCCATCTGACTATTTATCTATCCATCCATCCATCTATCATTTTACCCATCCATTGGTCCATTAATCTATCCATCCATCCAACCCTCAATACATCTGTTTATCCATTTATTCATCCTTCCATCTGTCCATCCATTCATCCATCCCTCCCTTCATCTATCTATGTATTCATTCATTAATCTTGATCCTTGTATTCATCCAATTTCGATCCATCCATCTACAAATAAATCCATCCATCCATCATCTAATCATTCATCTATCCATCCATCCATTCATCCATCAACCCATTCATCTCTCTATCCATTCATTCATCTATCCATCTCCATTTATCTATCCATCCTTCCATCTGTCCATCTATCCATCCATCCATCCATTCATCCATCTACTATCCATCTATCCATCCATCCATTTATTTTTTATCCATCCATCGATCATTTATTTTCTATTGATCCTTCGATCAATCCATCTGTCTATCCATACATCTCTCTGTCTATCCGTGTATCTATCCATCCACCCATCCATCCATTCATCCATCAATATTCTATTATCCATCTCTCTATCTCTGTCCATCCCTTTATCTATCCATTCATCTATGAATACATCCATCCATTTATCTATCCATCCATCCATGCATCCTTCCTTCCATCCATCCACCCATTCACATATCCATCCATCAATCCATACCTATCCATGTATCTGTCCATCCATTTATCCATCCTTCCATCTATCCATCCATTCATCTCTATCTACTCATCCATCCATCCATCCATCCATCCACCCACCTATCCTACATCCAGCCACCATGTCATCTTCTGTTCACTTGCCCTCATTGTCCCCTCCATCTCTCTCCATTCCACCCCACCAATACTTTTGTGTTCCTGATCTTTGATGCTGCACATATGGGCACATGAAAGTCTCTAGTGTCTACTGGAAGCCAGCAAATAAGGAATTACAATTCTGTTTAATAGGTGCTGTGGTGGGTTTGGTAAGTGGCACCTTGGGGGGAAGCATTAAAGAGAGTGGATTAGCCATGCAAGGTAACTCAAGCCATTGGACTGTAAGACCAATGGCTCTGGAGGCTGAGGCACGAGGATCACAAGGTGGAGGCCAGCCTCAGCAAGGCCCTAAGCAACTCAGTGAGACCCTGTCTCTAAATTAAACAGAAGAAGGGCTGGGGACGGGGCTCAGGGGTTGAGTGCTTGCCTGGCCTGCACAAGGACCTGCAAGATCCCCAGCACTGCAGCAAACAAAACGAATTAAAAAGAAATTGAGTCATTTCTATATGATAGCTGTGTAATTAAATGCTATATTTTTTTCTGCCTAAAATTGATATGCATAAAAGAAACAGAAAACTAGTGAAGAGGAGAACAGAGTGAAAGAACTACAGTATGGTGAAAACTGGATTTCCAAGTCTGAGTTCCCTCGTTCTTCCTGGTATTGATTGTCTGGAATCTTACACATATACATATATGATATGATGTTTCTTCTTTTCTTTTCTTTTCTTTTCTTCTCTCCCTCTCCCCTCCTCCTCCTTCGATACTGGGAATTGAACCCAAGAGTGTCCTACACTGAGCTACACATCAGACCTTTTTATTTTTATTTTGAGACAGGGTCTCACTAAATTGCTGAGGTTGGCCTCGAATTTGTGATCCTCCTGCCTCAGCCTCCAGAATGGCTGGTATCACAGATGCACCCCACCATTCCCTGCTACGATATTGCATTTCTGACCTTTGTTTTGGGGTACTGGGGATTGAACTCAGGGGCACTGAGCCACTGAGCCCCATCCCCAGCCCTATTTTGTATTTTATTTAGAGACAGGGTCTCCCTGAGTTGCTTAGAGCCTTGCTTTTGCTGAGGCTGGTTTTGAACTCAGGATTCTCCTGCCTCAGCCTCCCAAGCCTCTGGGATTGCAGGCCTGCACCACCGCAAGCCTGGTGCATTTCTGACTTTTTATGAGTTGATTCCCACCTAAGTTTTAAACTCCTCATGGGCAGAGACAATATCTTACTTATTTTTGTCTAACTAGATTCATGAACACTACAGATAATTCAATAAATGCTTTTTAATTATGGCACAAGAATCCTGCCAGCACATTTTTTTTAGATAATCTGTCAATAATTTTTTTAGTTGTATTTTTTTTTAGTTTTTAGTTTTTTATTTTATTTATTTATTTTTATGTGGTACTGAGGATCGAACCCAGTGCTTCACATGTGCCAGGCAAGTGCTCTGCATGAGCCAAATGGGGTGGTACTTTCCTGTCATTCCAGTGGCTCAGGAGACTGAGGCAGGAGGATCACAAGGTGGAGGCCAGCCTCAGCAATTTGGCAAGGTCCTAAGCAACTCAATGAGACCCTGTCTCTAAATAAAATATAAAAAGGGCTGGGGACAGGGCTCAGGGTTTAAGCACCCCTGGTTCAATCCCCTGTACCCTTTCCCCCAAGATGTGAGCACAGGATCCTAACACCCTCACCACAAGATTAACAGATGCAGTTGAGAATACGATACACCCAGGAACAATGTGCCACTAGGCTGGTATGGATGGTATGGAGGCACACTGTCTTGCAGAGATGTGCCACTGATTTGCTGCATCAGCCTCTCCCCAGGCCGGGATTGGGTGGCCCTGCACCCCCCTGCGCCTGGAGCTAGGCTGTTCGCTTCTTGCGTGGCCTCGCGGGGGCACAATAGAGCCGCCTCCTAACCGCGTTCTCCTCCCTTTGATTTCACATCCCAAGAGAAAGATCACGAGATGAAAAGGAGAAGCCTGAAGAAGGGAAAGAAGCAGCACTCGGAAGAGGAGTTTGACCCCAGCCAGTGGAGGCAGAGCGTCTTCTCCCTGCAGCTGGCCACCATGCCTCTGCTTGCTGGTAGCTACACCTGTTCCCAACAGTCTCTGGTCCTCCTGTCACCACATGGGACTGAAATGGTCCACACAGTCGGCCAAGCCCCTGCTCTGTACCACCTCATTTCATCCCCACTGCCCCCTCCGGAAAGCAGGGTTAATAGCCTCCAATGTATGCAGGAGGACAATGGAGGCCCAGAGAGGTTAAGTGCGCTACCCAAGACACACAGCGTAGCAAATGGGAAATCAGGATTTGAACTCAGGTCTGTTTGATTCCGTCCCCCATCACTTTTCATTATTTATGTAGAGACAGGGTCTCACTGAGTTGCTTAGGGCCTCACTAAGTGGCGTGGCTGAGGCTGGCCTCCAACTTGTGATCCTCCGGCTTCAGCCTCCCAAGCCACTGGGATGACAGCCCCTTCTTTTTTCCCTTTGGTAGTACTGGGGGCTGAGCTCAGAGCCTCATGCACCCCAGGCAAGCGCTCTGCCACTAAGCTACATTCCGAGACCCCCTCTCTTTCTGCTTTTTAAAGAAAGTCATTTCAGGTGGGTGGGTGGCGCACACCTGTAATCCCAGCTACAGGGAGGCTGAGGCAGGAGGATTGTAAATTGAAGTCCAGCCTTGGAAATTTAGCAAGACCCTGGGTCGGAATGAAAAAATAAATCAGAGGCGGTTGAATGACCTTGAGTTCAATTCCCAGTTGGACAAAGAACAGAATAAAACAGTTTTTTGTGCTTTGGACTGGCAGGGGCAGGCGCGCCCTCTGCTGGCTGTTTTGCAGAAGTGCAGTTGTTAAATGCTTTTGAGTGACACGTGAATGGAATATAATTTTTCTTTCCCCTCATCCCTCCCCTTTTTCCCCTTCCTGTACTCTGCTGGTCTTCCTTCTCTTTATTTTACTTTTTTTTCATTTTAATTTTTTAAAAAAAATTATAGCTATAAAGGTGGAATTCGCTGTGGTACATTCATATATGTACACACCATAATTTTGTCTTTTTTTTTTTGGGGGGGGGGTACCAGGGATTGAACCCAGGGGTGCCCAATCCCTGAGCCCCATCTCCAACCTTTTTTATTTTTTTATTTAGAGACAGGGTCTCGCTGAGTTGCTTAGGGCCTAAGTGGCTGAGGCTGGCCTCCAACTTTCAATCCTCCTGCCTCAGCCTCCCAAGCCACTGGGATGACAGGTGTGTGCCGCCGTGCCTGGCCCATTTCATTTAATTTTTGCTACCACAGTGTATCTCTAACTGGTGAAACAAATGGACCATATTTTATAGGAAAAGACTACATGTTTGCTTTGCAATGAATAATTCACCCACCTACTTTTTTTTTTTTTTTTTAAAGTAGAACTTGCAAAACCGTCACAGGGAGAGTTATTCCTCTTTGGGATTTGGCCCAGATATGCCAGTCTCGTTCGGCATGAGTACCTAGACTTGTCTCGTTAAGCCATGGCAAAGTGACACCCACCCCTGAGTGCTCAGTGTACACACTGACATTTTTGGACCAAGATGATTCTTTGCTCTAAAATAATTACCTGGAGCAGTTCTACCCAATAGCACCGTCTGTAGCAATGACCAAGCCCCATGTCTGTGCTGAGGATCAAACCCAGTGCCTCACGCATGCTAGGCGAGCGTACTACCACTTGAGCCACATCCCCAGCCCCGAACTGCACTTTAAATGCTACTGAGCTTTAATCAGTGCAGATTCTAGAAGCCACACATGCCTCGTAGGTACCATCGTTGATGGCAAAGGTTCTAGGATGGTGAGTGTAGAATCTGACATTTTGAACCTTCCAAGATGGAGACCACACTCCCCAGACCAACTAGATCAGACTAGGGTTGATTGGCACCTGTGTATCAGTATTCCTCACTGCATCCTTGATGACTCAAGATATATTTATATCAGATTCAGGGACAAAATATTCAATTCTTAGCCAGCCAGGTGCGGGGACACACGCCTGTCATCCCAGTGGCTTGGGAGGCTGAGGCAGGAGGATCACAAGGTGGAGGCCAGCCTCCGCCAAATTGAGGCCCTGAGCAACTCAGCGAGACCCTGTCTCTAAATAAAATAGAAAAAGGGCTGGGGACGGGGCTCAGGGGTTAAGTGCTCCTGGGTTCAATCCCTGGTACAAAAAAAGAAAAAACAAAATTCAATTCTCTTAGAGACTCAATGGGACTTTAGTTGGAGGAACTGACATATAACCTGCTGCTTGTGGGTGATTCCTGATTCTTCTTTTTTTAAAATAAATTTTATTTTTTGGTATGATTTTGTCATTAGCCCTTCTCTGGTTGCTTGATCCCTCTGTGCCTGTCTGGGGTGGTCTAAACCACTGTGTGTATTTCACCCCAGGACAGCAAACTGTCATGAGCTGGGGCAGTGACAAGTCGGCCAACATTTTGGATTGCCTTTTGACTTTCAAAACCGAAGTGCCTATCATGACCGAGGAGCAGAAGCTGGAATTAAACCCCCTGATCATAAGGATCGACTCTGTTTCCTGCCTGCCGTCACAACCTGTGCCTATTCAGGAACTACAGGTAAGAATGGGCCACACCTGTCATCCCAGCAGCTCAGGAGGCCGAGGCAGGAGGATCGCAAGGTGGAGGCCAGCCTCCGCCAAATTGAGGCCCTAAGCAACTCAGCAAGACCCTGTCTCTAAATAAAAATATGAAAAGGGGCTGGGGACAGGGCTCAGAGGTCGGTCAAGTGCCCCTGAGTTCAATGCCCAGATTGGCCCCTAACTAGGAGCCTCCAAATCTGAGGCCTCTCACTACGTCACAGTTGCTGTACAGATGGAGGTCTCCAGCCTCTCTTCAGGAACCCATGGGGGTGGAGCTGGAGGCTGTTACGCTAAGTGAGATCAGTCAATCCCGAAGATCCAAAGGCTGGACGTTCTCTCTGATATGAGGATGCTGATTCATAATGGGGGGGTAGAGGGAAGAATAGGGGTACACTGGATTAGACAGAGGGGAGTGAAGGGAGGGGACAGGGTCAGGGGGTGGGAAGGAAGGTGGATGCTATCACCCTCTGTGTGTATATGATACATGACGGGTGTGGTCCTACCTCATGCACAACCAGAAGAATGAGAAGTTAGGCTCCATTTACGTAGGATGCGTCCAAACGCATTCTACTGTCACGTGTAACTAATTAGAACAAATAAAAAAAAATAACTGGGATTAAAAAAAGAGGAACCCATGGATTTTCCTGTTACAGCAGCAGCACCTCGCTGCATACTTACCCTCTTCCCTCTGCTGTTTGGATTTTCTTGTCTTTCGGACTCCACGTCTTCCTCTTCATTTGTTTATCCTTTGGTTTTGCTGGAGCACATCCTTCAGTAACCTCTTGAGAAAAGATCAATGGAATACCCCCCGACCCACCGCGGGTTATTCTATCCTTCTATTTGGTAGATAGTTTGGGTATAGAATTCTAGTTTTCCTTCAGAGTTTTGAAGGCAATCATTCCATCATTTTTTTTTAATGTTCTGTGTTGGACCTTGGTTTATGTCCCATTTTTTATTTCCCTTAAAGCTTGTAGGATCTTCGTTTTGTGCACGTCAGAATATGACCTTATTTGGACAGAGGGTGATCACAGAGGCCTGCTCCCTGCCTGGCCTTCAGTGACATCACGGTAGTCACAGGGAGCTACGGTGCCCATGGATGCTGATCCAAGTCCTGGCTCCCAGCCAGGGGAGTGGCCAGGGCACCCCGTTAGAGTTGGGGGAGGTGGACGTCCCCCTAGGCCTTTGCAGACGTTGGTGGGCTGCGTTTTCTCCGAGGTGTTTGTCTGGGGTAGGGTGATCATTTTCCTGACAGTTTTCTGTCCTGCTAGGCCACCCCTTTCTTGGTCCTTTGGCTGGAGAAAGCAGACTTTTCTTGGGGGTGCTTCCTGCCTCCAGAAACATTCAGCCAGGGGACTCAGGAGCCCTTTCAGTGCTGGGAAGTTGTCTTGTATTATCTCACTGATTATTTCTTTTTTTCTCCCATGTCTTTTTGGAGCTCCTGTTATTTAGATGCTGAACGTCCTGGACTATTTTTATGGATGTAATGCGTTGTTTTTCTCTGGCCACTTTTTAATTTATTTTTGATTTGTTTAAATTAGTTGTACATGGCAGGCGAATGCATATATGCACTTTGATAGATCATACGTAGGTGGGATATAATTTCTCATTTTCTGAGTGTGCATGTTGCAGAATCATATTGTACATTGTCACATGGATACATACAGTAATAAGGTCTGTTTCATTCCACTATCTTTCCTATCTCCACATCCCCTCCCCTCCCATCACTTCCCTCTACTGAATCTAAGGTAACACTGTTCTTCTGCAGGGGCCCCCAATCCTTGTGGATTAGCATCCACATACTAGAGAAAACATTCGGCCTTTGGTTTTGTGGGATTGGCTTATTTCGCTTAGCATGATAGTCTCCAACTCCAACCATTTACTGCAAATGCCATAATTGTACTCTTCTTCCAAGCAGTGTAATATTCCATTGAGTATACATACCACATTTTCTTTATCCATTCATCTACTGAGGGACACCTAGGTTGGTTCCATAGTCTAGCTATTGTGAATTGAGCTGCTGTAGTGGCTGTGTCACTATAGGATGCTGATTTTAAGTCCTCTGGGTATAAACCAAGGAGTGGGAGAGCTGTATTTTTTCTATTTGTTCTAATTAGTTACACATGACAGCAGAATGCAAAAATTCTGACAAATGGAGTATGACTGGTCATTCACCTGGTTGGACATGATGTAGAGTGAGGTCCTGTGATCCTATATGCACATGGGAAATGATGATCTGGCTGTTTTTAATGTGTGTTATCTCTGCTTTTAATCTGTTCCATAAGGATGTGTCTGGGCCTGTATTTCTGAGTTCATCTGATTGGGATTTACTGAGATTCTAGAACCTACAAGTTAATGTTCTTTGACAAATTCAGGAGATTTTCAGACACTATTTTTTTAAAATTTTTTTTTTGTAGCTGTAGATGGACAGATGCCTTTATTTTATTTATTTATTTCTCTGTGGTGCTGAGGATGGAACCCAGGGCCTCCCACGTGCCAGGCAAGCGCTCTGCCACTGAGCCCCAGCCCAGCCCCAGTCATTATTTCCTGAATTTTTTCTATGTTCTACCTTCTTACCTGGTGGCACTTTTGTGGACACCGGGCCTCAGAGTCCTGGAGTGACCTTGCAGAGTGGGTTGGTTACCCGTGGACACTTTGTAGCAGGGCAAACTGAGGCCCCCAGGCTGCAGGCACGGCCCTGGGGTATGAGGGTCCCAGGTGGGCGCTCTGTTCTTGGTGGCAGAGGGACAGTCACTGGTGAGCGGCTGTGGGCCTCCTTCCTGGTGGCAGAGGGACAGTCATGGTGAGTGGCCGTGGGCCTGTTCTTTTGCAGAGGCTGTGCACCCCCGTCTACTGCAGGTACCGCTTCCACAAGACCCCGGTGCACAGGACCGAGGAGCGCCCCCACGGGACCCACGTTTACTTCGAGGACATCAATGTCATCTGCCTGGGAGCCATCCACCCCAGCGACCTGCGGGAGTACCTGGAGGGTCCCCCCATGGTGGTGGAAGTCCACGATCGGGACCGTAAGTCGGACGAGTCCTCCCGCAGGCCCACCCTGTTTGGGGAGGACCCCCTGGATTCCCACGGGAACATCCAGTCCTTCATCTCCTCCAAGGAGACGGAGGACAACCCCTTTGAGTCTCAGAACAAGACCTGGGACCCTCACGGAGTCGCCCGGGTCAGTTTCGCGGACCTCCTCCTTGGCCACAAGTACCTGAACCTGGTGGTCCCCATCCAGCGCTGTGAGCCCAAGGCCACCCCTGGCCTCCAGGGCAGCAGATGCAGGAGGGTCTCGAGGTTCCAGATCCCGGCCACCGAGGTCCTCCAGCACAACCCGATGCCCGCTGGAAACTACCTGGAGGCCAACTCATTGCTCAAACTGCGAGTGGACGTGGCGGTGCCTCTGACCACCTGGGCCAAAGCCCAGGGCGTGGACTTCCTGGGCAGCCACTTTGGCCGCATCGTGTTCGTGTTCAGTGCCCAAGACCTGTTCCTGGTGCACAGTCTGCTGAAGGACATCACCCTGATCAACGCCAAGGCCCTGGAGCTGGACTCCTACCCCACCGGGACCGTCCAGCAGATCCTCTCGGCCTTCAAGATGCGGGTCAACATCCAGCATCAGGAGCATCTGGACGTCCTGACGGGCTTCCACCTGCTGGATGGGAACCTCCACCTCTTTGTTCTGGAAGGCTTGGCCGACGGGGGCCTGCGGCAGCTGTGGGAGAGCCACCAGAGCCGGTAGGTGGCGTCTGAATGAGGAAGGAGCCCCAGCAAGGCCCAGGGAGGCTGAGGGCGGAGGATCGCAGATTGGAGGCCAGCCTCAGCAACTTAGCGAGATGCTGTCTCAGAATCAAATAAGAAGGGTTGTATTTTGTGGTTCAATCCCCAGGACCAATAAATAAATAATCCAGATACATGATTCTGACACCATGACCTGCTGCCCCCAGAGGCAGGAGCCTGGTCTGTTTGGACCATGGCTGGAGTGACCGCTGAGTGCCTGATTGGCTGAGCAGGGTGAAATGACCCTCGTCCGGGGATCAGCTTCCTAGGTGGCCCGGTGGGAACAGGGGACCCTGGCTCTCTCTTCTGATAGCACAGTCTTTCAAACAAGTTGACCCTTTTACCCCCTTGAGCCTACAATGAGGGTATCATATTTTAAATTTCAGTTGCCAGGTGTTTATTGCTGGTAATATGGAAATATGATTGATTTGTGTGTATCTTGTATCCCGATTTGATAATTATTTATTATTATTGCTATTTTTTTTTGGTACCAGGGATTGAACCTAGGGGTACTCCACCACTGAGCCCCGTCCCCAGCCCTTTTCTGTATTTTATTTAGAGACAGGGTCTCGCTGAGTTGCTCAGGGCCTCGCTAAGTGGCTGAGGCTGGCCTCCAATTTGCAATCCTCCTGTCTTGGCATCCAATGTCTACCTCCCCAAATCACTGAGATTATAGGTGAGGGCAACAGCCAGCCACAGTATCCTTGGGTTTAATCCCCAGTAATAAAAAAAAGTAAGAAAACTGACAAAAAAAGTTATTTACAATGTGTGGAACATAGTAGTAGCCTGAAAATATAAAGAGTTCTGTGAATCAATAAGAATGATCGAAACATCCCAGAAGAATGGGTGGAAGAATGATTCCAACAAGTTCTTCACAGAACAAGTTCCTACCAATGACCACACCTACAGGCCCTGAACTGGGATACAGGGTAGGCGTAAATGTTACCAGGTTCAGCATGCTGGGCATGGTGGTGTGCGCCTGTCATCCCAGTGGCTCAGGAGGCTGAGGCAGGAGGATCGCAAGTTGGAGGCCAGCCTCAGCAATTTAGCGAGGCCCTCAGCAACTCAGTGAGACCCTGTCTCTAAATAAAACATAAAAAGGGCTGGGGACGGGGCTCAGGGGTTAAGAGGCCCTGGGTTCTTTCTGTCATGGGTCTTCGACAAGCAAAGACAAAATAAAATGTCATATGAAATAAAACAGGGCTGAGGTCGTAGGTCAGTGGGAAAGCCCCTGCCTAGCCCGCAGGAGGCCCAGGTTCAACCCTCAGAATTGCAAAGTGAATGAATGAAAACATAAATAAATAATCTGAGTTGCTCAAGGCCTTGCTAAGTGGCTGAGGCTGGCCTCCACCTTGCGATCCTCCTGCCTAAGCCTCCAGAGCCACTGGGATGACAGGTGTAACCTAAGTCCACACTTCTAAACTGTAAACTGTGAAGTAATTACAGACTCACAAGTTGTAACAATTAATAGAGTTTCTAGATCCCGTCCTCGGTGGCCCGTGGGGACATCTTCCATAACCACACTGCTTCACTGGTGACACCTATACTACCGCTGCCTACAGGGATGGAAAAATCTTTTTATTTGCTTGCTTTTCTGGTCCTGGGAGTTGGACCTGAGGCCCTACCCTGAGCCTGCAGTGTGCCCAGTGACCCCTGGCCGGTGTCCCTCTCTTTCAGAATCCCCATGTTGGAGCTCAGGAAATACAAAGTGCTCTACAACTCGCAGCTGCTGTTCCGCCACCGCCTCTACGCGGACCTGGAGACCGTCCTGTACCATGTGCACCTCTTCAGGCCCCTGTCGCTGCTCATGCGACATCCGGGGCTCTACCTGCGCGACGCCATACCGCATAAGGCCTTCCAGGCACTGGCCAGGTCGGGGCCTGCTCTGCCAATGAGCCTCAGCTCCTGCCCCAGCCTCAGCCCCAGCCCCTGAGCCTCAGCCTCAGCCCCAGCCCCTGAGCCCCAAGCCCCTGAGCCTCAGCCTCTGCCCCTGAGCCTCAGCCTCTGCCCCAGCCCCAGCCCCTGCCCCAGCCCCTTTTTGTATTTTATTTAGAGATAGCATCTTGCTAAGTTGCTGAGGGCCTTACTCAATTGTCGAGGCTGGCCTCCAACTTGCGATCCTCCTGACTCAGCCTCCCTAATTGCTAGGATTACAGATATTAGCTACTGAGCCTGGCAAAGGGGGGAGTTTTGGGGGTTGGGAAGGCAGGATGACTGGCAGCCCAGTCTTCTGAGATTTGCTCAGAAATCAGGCTACGGGCATATCACCTTTCCCGGTGGAGGAGGATTCTGAGGTGTACCATTGGCCATCTTGCTAGGGATGCTCTCCATGCGCTGTTGAGGGTCATGGATGAGACTGTGGCTCGGTCAGCTTTTTCTGTGCTGTGACTCAGGGACCCTCCAGCACAACTGCAGAGAGGGACAGTGGACGTGGGGCTCAGGGTGTCCCAGGTCCCAGTCCACAGATGGCGGCTTCACTCCTGGGCCGAGGGGAGGCAGGACATCATGGAGGAAGAGTGTGGGGAGGGAGCAGCTCCCATGGGGACCAGGGGGCAGAGACTCCACTCTCCAGGGACAAATAGAGACCCCAAGCCACGGCCCCAGTGTTACCTCCTCCTCCACACCCCACCTGCCTCCAGGGGCCACCAGGGGACCCCCAGGGAGCCATTCCCTGCCAGGGTTCAGGCCTCACACCCCTCACTCCTCCTCTGGACCTTCCTGTGTCACCTTCCAGGGGGACTCTGGGGACACCCCACAGCCACAGCAGGACAGATCACAATCAAAGAAGAGCATTCATATCAGAGCACGAGTAGCCAGTAAATTCTTGGGGGTCAAAGGAGGAGGGAAGCCAGCACACACCTGTCATCCCAGCTGCTCAGGAGGCTGAGGCATGAGGATCGCAAGGTGGAGGCCAGCCTCAGCAACTTAGGCCCTGAGCAACTCAGTGAGACCCCGTCTCTAAATAAAATATAAAATATGGAGAGGGAAGAAGGGATTCTCCAGGAAGGAGGCCTAACAGATCAAACTAGACCTGAGTACTTCATTTATGACCTGGCACCAGCTAATCAGCCTCTCTTGGGTTTTATGTCCTCCATAAAATAGGGGTGACTGTCCCCGTCTCTCAAGGCCTGTGAGGCTGAGTGGGGTGTTCTTCGTTGCAGAATCTACAACATCTGCTACCACAGTACCAAGCTCAGGGAGGTGATCGTCAGAGACTTGCTACCTTCGTCCGCCATGATCAAAGACTTGAGCCAAGAGTTTGGGCTCCCCATCTCTCAAGAGGACCTCATGGATCAGAAGCTACCTACCATCTCCCCTCAGCCTGTCCCCAATCTTGAAGGATCCCAAAGTCAGGTCTCCACCCTCAATTCCAAGGTCCTTGCCCACCAGGAGAAGTACCTGCAATGGCGGAACAACATGCTCCTGACGACGAGAGAGAAGCACTACCTGATCCAGGTGGGCCTGCCTCCTCCCTCCACGTCCGGGCTCCCAGCCCACCAGGGCTGTCTCCACCTGCTGGAGAGATTTTTCTTTTGGTTCCGGGGATGGAACCCAGGGGTGCTTCACCCCTGAGCCCTGTCCCCAGCCCTTTTTATATTTTATTTAGAGACAGGGTCTCCCTGAGTTGCTCAGGGTTTTGCTAAGTGGCTGAGGCTGGCCTCCACCTTGCGATCCTCCTGCCTCAGCCTCCGGAGCCACTGTTTTGAAACTAGGTTGGGTTTTCAACCACCGAGCCATATCCCCAACCCAATTTTCTTCTCTCTCAACTGCTTGGATTTCCTAGGCACTGTGTGGACTCCAGATCCATTTGGGAAGCATGGCTATCCTAGTGGTTTGAGGACTGCCATTGATAATATGGAATATCTCTGCTGTGATTTAGGTCTTCTCTCCCTCAGCCATTTCTGTGGCATATAAGTATCAGACCTCTTTTTGAGAAAATAATACTGTTAATATATTGAGTTTTAAAAATTTCTGTGTTGTCACTAGAATATAGAAATATAATGAATCTTTACTATTCATCTTGTATCCTGTAACCTTTTGAAATTGGGTCATCTGTATTAATCGGTTTTCTGTTGCTGTAACAAATCACCGGAGGCTGGGAAACATATAAAGAAAATAGGTTCAGTTAGATTAATTTTGGAGGAGGAAAGTCCAATCTGATGGCCCCACTAGTTTGGCCTCTGCCAAGGGCCTCCTTAGCCACATCACCACAGGGCAGATGGCATCACAGGGGTAATACCTTCACGAGGGAGGGATCAGATGGCCAGATGGGAAGCCACAGAGGGAGGGAGGGATCAGTCTTGATCTCCTTCTAACAACTTGTGTGTGGCCACACCTGGGCTTTGGAATGATCCCCAGTGTCCTTGCCTGAGGTTCTGTCCGGCTCCCCCCACAAGATTCTTTTATTTTGATTGGCATGTAACTGGGGTACCTAAGAATGGGATCCAGTGTGATGACATTTCATCATGTGCATACAGCACGCACTGATCACCCCCTTCAGCAATCACTATTTTACATTCAGGTCAATTTTGTTTTTTAAACTTCTACATAAGGTGGAGAACATGCCCTATACCTGTCCATGTTTAGCGCTTATTTCACTTGACACGATGTCTTCCAGGTTCATCCATTTGATTGCCAAATCACAGGATTTCATTCTTGATGGCTGAGTAATATTCCATTATGTGTGTGTGTGTGTATCAGCCTAAGTACCCAGTGGCAAATGAATTGATAAAGAAAATGTGTGTATGTGTGTACACGCCTGTCATCCCAGTGACTCAAGAGGCTGAGGCAGGGGGATCTCAAGTGGGAGGCCAGCCTCAGCAACTTAGTGAGGCCCTAAGAAACTCAGTGAGACCCTGTTTCTAAATAAAATATAAATACACACATACAGCCTTTTCTTTATCCATGCATCCGTCAGTGGGTTCCTAGGTTGATTCTTTATCTTAGTAATTGTGAATAGGTCCCTCACAGACATGGGGTGTGGGGGTACCTCTTTGGTGAGCTGATTTCATTTCTTTTGGAGACATACCCAGAAGTGGGGTAGCTGGATCACACGGTCGATCTATTTTTAGTTTTCTGAGGAACCAGATTAATAATTATGGTTGTATCATTGATTTACACGCCTAATAGCAGTGAACAAGTTCCTTTCTCTCCACATCTGAACATTTGTTATTTTTTTAAAAATAACAGCCATTCGAATTGGGGTGAAATGATTGTCTCATTGTCGTTTTGATCTGCATTTCCCTGATGGCTAATGATATTGACCATGTTTTAATATATTTCTTGACCATTTCACCTCCTTCTCTTCTTTCTTATTTTTATTATTATTATTATTACTATTACTATTATTATTATTATTATTTAGTACTGGGATTGAACCTAGGGGTGCTTTTATCACTGAACTACATCTTCAACCTTTAATTTTTTAAAAGAATTTTGAGACAGGGTCTCACTGAGCTTCGCAGGCTGATCTGAACTTGCAGTCCTCCTGCCAGAGCCTCCCGAGTTGCTGGGATGACAGGCGCATGCCCGGTTGCATTTCTTCTTTTAAAAAAAGTATCCATTCAGATCCTTTGTCCATTTTTCAATTGGATTTTTTTGGGGGGGGGGATACTGGAGAGTGTACCCAGAGGATCTTAACCCCTGAGCCCCATCCCCAGCCCCTGTTTTTGTTATTGTTAATATTTTATTTAGAGACAAGAGTCTTGCTGAGTTGCTTAGGGCCTCGCTAAGTTATTGAGGCTGGCCTCCACCTTGTGATCCTCCTGCCTCAGCCTCCCGAGTCACTGAAATTTCAGTTGTGTGCAATGCACCTGGCCTTTTTGGTTGTTCTTTAAGTATATCTTTATGAATGAACACATCTCAGTTTGTTGTACGCCTTTGTTCAGTTTCCAGTGGTTGCTTTTGACAGTTTTTTTTTTTTTTTTTTAAAATTTATTTTTTAGTTTTCGGCGGACACAACATCTTTGTTTGTATGTGGTGCTGAGGATCGAACCCGGGCCGCACGCATGCCAGGCGAGCGCGCTACCGCTTGAGCCACATCCCCAGCCCCATTTTTGACAGTTTTTTCATTGTTTTCTTTCTTCTTCTTTCAGGGCTGGGATCGAGCCCAGGGTTTCCTGGGTAAGTGATCCGCCATTGAGCCACATCCTTGGTGCAAGGACTGAGCTCTCAGGAGGATGGATTTTCTGAGCTCCTTATTCCATTCACCCTATGAGTCCTCCTTTCCTCCTGCTCAACTATGAATTTTATTCACGTCTTTATTGCTCCAGATTTTTGGAGTCTATTTTATCTTTTTATTTTATTTTTGGAGTCTATTTTATCTTTGTGATTTTCCTTTCAGAAGGGTAAGAATGGCTCCCATTTCTTGCAGGTATAAGGTCTGCCTTTTCTTCTGTCACTTGGACCACAGTGGACTGTTTATGGGTCCACATCCCCTCTCCTCTCTCCACCCCAAACTCCACCGCTTTCTAGAATCAAGGGCTGCAGAGAAGTCTGATACCTTCCTGATTCATTTCTCCTTTCAGCTAAATAAACCATTTCTTTTAGAGCTCTCCACCTCTAGGTGGGGCTTAAAAAAAAAAATCCTTTAAAGCCAGGCACGGTGGCGCACGCCTGTCATCCCAGCAGCTCAGGAGGCTGAGGCAGGAGGATCGCAAGGTGGAGGCCAGCCTCAGCAACTGAGCAAGGTGCTAAGCAACTCAGGGAGACCCTGTCTCTAAATAAAATACAAAAAAGGGCTGGGGATGGGGCTCAGGGGTTAAGCTCCCCTGGATTTACCCCCCAAAATTCTTTCAAAGTGTTTTTTCTTCCTCTCTCCATCTTTACCCCCTTCTTATTTGCTGGTCTCTCCCATCCAGTTCTGCTCCGTCTTCCGGTTTACCAACCTGATCTTCCTCTGTGACCATTATGGTAGTTGGCAATTTATAGCTCTAAGTTGTACCAATCATTTTCCAGAAATTATCACCTTCATGAATGATGTAAAATTTCAGCAAATGAGTGTATTTGTGTACACTATTAAAAAATAATAGGGGCTGGGGATGAGGCTCAGTTAGTAGAGTGCTTGCCTGGCATGCACAAGCCCTGAGTTCAATCCCCAGCACCCCAAAAAACCAACAAAGACACTGAGGCTGGGAGGTAGCTCGGTGGTGAACTGCCTGCCTAGTGTACGTGAGGGCCTCCCTTCCTAGCATTGGCCCCCCACCCCAAAAAAAAAAAAGCCAATTACCTAGCTTAAGAAATCAAATATCAATACTTGGGCATTTGAATTGTTTATCTTTTGCTTTTTATTTTTCATTTTTGGGGATTACTGGGGATTGAGCCCAAGGGCACTTTAGCATTGAGCTACATCCCAGCTCCCTCGTTTTTAATATCTTGTTTTGAGACAGCTTTAAGTTGCCGAGGCTGGCCTCTAACTTGCAATCCTCCTCCCTCAGCCTCCGGAGTCTGTGTACTATGGTACTCTGTGATATTCTGCTACTTAAATGATATGATTGCAACTACCTTAACATGTCTTTGTCTCAAAATATTTCCTTGATTTTTTGGTGGCTTTGACATTTCCATTGCCAACCCAATAAGTGGCAAGTATCTCCTGGTTTCTGATTCATCTTTCCACTCTCTTAATTTGGGGTCTTTTATATTTTATTTTTTAGTTTTTTAGATGGACACAATATCTTTATTTTTATGTGGTGCTGAGAATTGAACCCAGGGCCTCACACATGCCAGGTGAGCGCTCTACCACTGAGCCCCAGCCCCATATTTCAACTCTCCATCCATCTGGAATTTATTAATTTTTGCATGAGGTTAGAAATAGTCCCATCTCTTCCATTCAGATCACTCTTGATCAACTAGTCATCCTTCACCCCGATCTTCTGTACCTCAGTCCCATCAGGCCAAGTGCGAGTCTATGGATGGCTGTTTGGGGTCTGTACTGAAATCACATTTATGATGTTATCATTCCCTTCAAAGCACCAACAACTTGATTTTTGATTTCCATATTATACATCTTCTATTTTCTTGATTCCCGATTTTATTTATTTATCGGAACTGGCGATTGATTTAAATTTAAACTACTGAGCCACATCCCCAGCCCTTTTCACTAACTTGCTGAGGCTGGCCTCCAACTTGTGATCCTCCTGCCTCAGCCTCCCAAGCCTCTGAGATGACAGGCGTGTGCCACTGAACCCAGCTAACGTGCTTTTCTTTTTCTAACTTCTTCAAATGCATGTTTACCTCATTGCTTTTTTGGGAATTCAACTGAACAGATACATTTTGACTATCAACTTCTGAATAGTGAGTCCCACAAGTTTATTTCCTTAATTTCCACTTTGATTCCTTCTTTGATCTCTGGATCATCTAAGAATATTGTAGACTTTCCAAATGCTTAAGGAACTTTTAAAAAATATATATATTTTAGTTGTTGATGGAGCTTTATTTTATTCATTTGTATGTGGTGCTGAGAATCGAACCCAGTGCGTCACATATGCTAGGCAAGCGCTCTGCCACTGAGCCACAACCCCAGTCCCTTAAGGAATTTTTAATTATCATTTCTTTTGATGATTGAGTTCTACCTTAATTTTGTTGGCATCAGTGAGTATTTTTTGTATTCTTGGTCCTTTGTTGAGATTTGCTTCCTGGCTTAGTCGGCCCACTTTAGCAGGAGTTAAATTTAGGATCCTTCTATCTTGCCAATTTGATCATTTTAAAACTCTAAAAGGCCTTTTTCAATTCTCGGTAATGCTTTTTAGAAGTACCAATACAGTAAAATGCACAAATCCAAAGTGTATAGTTGCTCATTTTTTCTATCTGTGGAAACATGATTCAAATCAGAATTCTAGAATGTTCTATCACTCCCCAAAGCATCATGCACCTTAGTGGTTAACCATTCAATAGTTTTACTTGTTCACGGGGACTGAACCCAGGGGTGCTCTACCATGGAGCTACATTCCCAGTCCTTTTTATTTTCTAAGACAGGGTCTCAGTAAGTTGCTGAGGCTGGCCTTGAACTTGCAATCCTCCTGCCTCAGCCTCCCAAATGGCTGGGATTACAATCCAGGGCCACTATGCCTAGCTACTCTGATTTTTGAGTGGACGTCACTACTTTCATCTTTATCTTCTACACTAGATTGTCTTATTTATTTTTTAAGTCCAGGGCTTTCTGGGATCCTAAACTGATTTTTCAGTCCATGACCTCATTCTGCAGTTGCATTCCGTCCACGGCTTAATTCATCCATCTCTGTTGAGTACTTTTATTTTTATTTTGGGGTACCAGGGATTGAACTCAGGGGCACTTGGCCCTTGACCCACAGCCCTATTTTTGTATTTATTTAGAGACAGAGAATCACTGAGTTGTTTAGGGCCTTGCTAAGTGGATGAGGCTGGCCTCCAACTCATGATCCTCCTGCCTCAGCCTCCCGAGCCACTGGGATTATGGGTATGCACCACCACGCCTGGCTGTAAGTACTTGTATACACCAGTATTTTTTCCTTAAAGTCCCTTCTGTTTCAAAGTGCTAGTACCTTTTCTCTTTTAAATTTTGGTGAGCTCTGTCCCTCATCCAGTGACCCTTGCCACAGGGCCTCCTTGGACAGGCTCTTCTCTGGTGTGTGTCTATCACAGAGTTAGTCCTGGTCCTCTGCATTCTTCCTCGTATCCCAGCCCTCCGTGGAACCTTCTGGTTTCCCTCCTGGGCCCAGGTGACCTGTGTCGCTGCTCTTTTCATTTACACAAGGAGTCCCCGGGCCACCTTAGTTCTCTCAGCGTCCTCTGCTGAGGCACTGAGTCCCGTGTCCTCTGGGGCCTGCTGAGAATGCAGGACACACTCACCGTGTACTTGGCCCTCCAAGGTGACCGCAGTCGAGGAGGCCAGCCCTGGTTAAGTCACAATGTCCCCCACCCACACCCTGAAAGCCTCTCACTCAGCATGTGCATCCCACCTGTTGACCTTGGGCCAGGTTCTGGTCCTGGGAATTCCAGTTTGGACAGTGGCAGGTTGAACCAGGTGTCCCCGTGTCGTGGTTCTGAGATGAGGACACAGCACACTCAGGAACCAACCGATCTCCCTGCCCACCAGGTGCCAGCCAGGGGTGAGGAGCACCCGTGGTGGCTCCTGACTCTGGGCAACTTCTTCTCCTTCAGAAAAACATCATGAAGGCCTTCCAGGCCACCAAGAGGCCTCCTGTCCCCAAGGCCAAGATGATGCAGATCTCAACTCCCCTGGACAAGGGTGTCCACAACTACAGTGTCATGACCTTCAACTCCGCTGTGCTTGCCAAGAAGGAACTGTGCCAAGAGATGGCCAAGGTGTGTGACAGTCCCCAGTGAGACAATGGCGGTTGGCTAATCCCCTGACCCTTTCCTTTCTGACCACAGGTCAGCGGGCGACTTAGGTGTGCAGACAAAAGCCAGTTAGTGGAACAAGAAATGGGGTCAGGTGCTGGGAGAATTTGGTGTCACACTAGATGTGAATGCTCAGCGCATGCTCCGATCCATGGCTGAGAACCACTGTAGGGTCCTTGGCTCTGGTGAGGGCTTTGGTGTGACCACTTATGGAAGGCGGTTGGCACCTGGAAGGAAATGCGTTGGTTCAGGTCTCAGCACCCACTACGTGTAGGCAGCAGTTTCATTTGTTAAAGGGGACAGTAAATATGGCCTCTACAGGGTCAGGGGCTGTCATACCCTTAGCTGTTTCCAGTGCCCACTGGGACTCCTAATGGCCACTCAGCCACATCCAAGATGGCGCCCGAGTCCTCTCTCCAGCCCGCCTGCCTCTGCCACATCCAAGATGGCGCGGGTCTTCTCTCCAGCCAGCCTGCCTCTGCCACACCCAAGATGGCACCCAAGTCCTCTCTCCAGCCCTCCCGCCTCTGCCACATCCAAGATGGCGCGACTCTTCTCCCTAGCCTGCCTGCTTCTCTTTCCTAGGAGCCAGGGAGGAGGTTCACGTACTCACAGAACTACCTGTCCGCCATTGTGGAGCCTCAGGACTCGCAGGAAGAGAAGAAGAAAGCCCAGGAGAAATCCCGCCAAGCCTGGCTCACGGTCACTGGGTTCCAAGTGACAGGTCTCCATGGTGACATCCTCCATCAGGATTTCCCACTGCCAGCCATCGGAGAGTTCCATGAGGTTTGTGAGAGGAGCAGAGCTATAGGTGGGCCTCCACCATCATCTCCAGAGGGCCTCCTTCCTCGGAACCTCCTTGTCTCCCCAACTCAGGAGTGGCAGGAACACCAGGTGCTCGATCGCCTGCTGTACCCCATGTTGGATCGGGGCCGGTGGAGCTGGGACCGGCGCCACCTGGACTTTGAGCTGTACAAGAAGCCACTGCCTTTCCTGGAGGTGCCCCCTCCTCCAACCCGGAAGCCCGTTGCAGATAACTGGGGAGACCGTGCCCAGCTGGTAGGCAGGCGGGGGGGGGGGGACCCTGGCCCTTGGTCGCATCTTGAGCACCATCTGTTTGGTTCCAGGTGTCCACCTCGAGTTCCCAGGCTAGGCCTCCTGGTACAGAAGGGTCTCGGGCTGTCCCAAGGGCTGGAACTCAGCTGTGGATTCCAGCCCCAGGTGTGACACCAAATGTGACGTGAGGTAAAGCCCCACTGCTTTCCAGTGTCCTCCCAGTTCCAAGATGCTGCTGGACCTCCCTCTGTGGGGAAGAGAGGGAAGGAGCACGGGACTAGCCCCACCAGTCCCCCCAAGTCCTTCATCTCGTTTGTGGATTTTTTTTGGGGGGGGATGTGTGCCAGGGATTGAACTCAGAGGCCCTCCACCATGGAGCCCCATCCCCAGCCCTACTTTGTGTTTTATTTAGAGACAGGGTCTCGCTGAGTTGTTCAGGGCCTCACTTTTGCTGAGGCTGGCCTCCACCTTGCGATCCTCCCGCCTCAGCCTCCAGAGCCACTGGGATGACAGGCCTGCGCTCCCCATGCCTGGCCTCCCTGTTTCGGAAGAGTGGCCTCATCATCATTGAAAGGCACCACTGAAACACAGAACCCAAATTTGTTGGTTGGCAGAGACAGAAGTTTGTTTGAGGAGGGACAGAGGAGTTTATCGAGCCACAAGTTGGCCAGAAAAACTTCCTCCGGGGAGCTAGCTCGGCAAGCCCGAAACACAAGAGCTCTGAGCAGGTCCCAGCGACCCGGCAAGAAGGCCACTGTCTCCTGGTGCCTGGACTTGGCTCCTTCCCTCCCAGGTAAGCCCTGGGCCTTCGGAGTTTGGAGGAGAGTCGGCCAGTGTGGGAACATGAGGCCTGTCCACATGGCTCCATGGGCAGCCTTCCCAAAAGTAAAAAAGGCGACTGAGAAATGGAGGCTGGAGTGGCCTCTCCCCTGCTGCATCAAGTTCAAGAAACATCAGAACCTGTGAAGTGAGAAGGGGGACCTAGACTGTGGCTACGCCTCTGAAGCCCCACGGGGTGAGCAGAGAACTGGCGCCACCAACAGGAGCCCTCAGGGCCCAGCAGTGGGGGGATGTCTACGGCCCTTTCCAAGTTTCTCCTGTTCAAAGGAACTCTGTGCAGCCTCCTGTCCCTGGCACTGTGCACTCTCCATTTTGTGCCCAAGGTCTCTTTGCCATCACTAAATACAAGCTGGGAAAACAAAACTGAACAAGAAATTTAGGTTTCAGCAGGGCGCGGTGGGGCATGCCTGTCATCCCAGTGGCTTGGGAGGCTGAGGCAGGAGGATCACAAGATGGAGGCCAGCATCAGCAAAAGTGAGGCCCTGAACAACTCAGCGAGACCCTGTCTCTAGATAAAATATAAAAACAGCTGGGGACGGGGCTCAGGGGTTAAGTGACCTTGAGTTTAATCCTTGGTACCAAAGTCACAAGACTTATTTAGTCACCCAAACTGGAAGAACGCCCCAGCCCCAGCTTGGCCCACGGAGCCCTGGGCGCTCTGCATTTCCACTCTTCTTGGGGACCACCCACCCTCACAGCACAGGGAGACTTGAAGCCCCAAGTCACCCAGGGGTGACAGGAGCTTAAAGGCCACCAGGTGAAGCACGGGACCCCGCATGGCTTGCAGGCGCTACCAGATGGCGGCCAAGGGAAACACAGAGGCCTGTTGAGGCCACCTACAGACGCCCCTCACCCTCTTCAGGGAGGGAGGCCGGTCCTTGCAAAGACACTGAGAAGCCCTGCGTGGGCATGAGGTCCCGCTGCGGCCACCAGAAGGACCCAAGAGAAGGGACACTTGTGGAGCCCTGAGGTCAGGGACCAGGCCCTGCCTGCCCTCTGGTGTTTGGGGCCCTCTTCTCATGGGGTGAGTGAGGACAAAGGGCTCAGAAGCCACTGCCAAAGGGTGGCTCTCAGGATCAAGCTGGTGTCCCTTAAAGGCTGGCTCTGAAGAACGAGGTGACTCAAGGCCAGAGGGGACACCGACTGTGACATTTATATTCCTTTCTGTTGAACACTCCCCAGCATGTGCCTCCTACTTGGAGGTGACAAGGGCGCTGTTTCCCAGCTGTTGCTTGACCCTGTGGCTTGGTAGCAATGGCTGCCCGAGCCTCGGATGCCCGCGAGCTTCCTGCCACCAGCATGTCCCCAACCACCAGCACAATGGCCACACGGTGACGGCGATTCTCTTCCCTGTCTCTGCTCAGGAGCTGCGGTGTGGCCTCCTGCAGTTCTCCACCTTCTGAAAGGCGGGTCCTCTAGTGTCAGCTGAGGCCCGGGGGCAGGGACACTGTCCCAGCGTCAGGACGTCCTCTCCAGAGGGTGGGCGCAGATGTAGGTCCGCTTCTCGAGGATCTCCCTGGACACTTTCTTAATCTGCTCATCCAGGTTCTCTGGAGCATCTGGGAGGGAAGAGAGGGACGGGGTGACCCTTCTGCCCTGTGACGACACAAACAGGGCTGGGGGGGGGTGTGTTCTCAACCCCCCACTGTGCAGCTCAGGGGAGGGGGAGAGGCTTCGTGCTGAATTAAAAAGGGCTTGTCCCAGTCTTTTTTTGGCACTGGGAACTGAACCCAAGGGCCCTTGACCCCTGAGCCACCTCCGCAGCCCTATTTGTATTTTATTTAGAGACAGGGTCTCCCCGAGTTGCTTGGGGCCTTGCTTTGGCTGAGGCTGGCCTCCACCTTCTGATCCTCCTGCCTCAGCCTCCTGAGCTGCTGGGGTGACAGGTGTGGGCCACCGTGCTTGGCTTATCCTATTTAAAATGCCCAGACTGTAAGGGGCTAGGAGTGGGGAGAAGATCCTGATCAGGAAATGACCAAATGGAGGAGAAATTGTTTCATCATCCAACTTCGGTCGCATTTGGCAGCCCTGGGGCGAGCCTGGCTGGCCGCCAGCACCAGGAACCACGAGACGTCACTGGCCAGTGTCCTTGCCATCGACAACACACCTGACACTGATCCAGAGCCCGCAGCCTACAGGACCATGAGGGTCGGAGGAGACCCTGAGTAACACATTCCACGCTGTGGCCCAGGGGGAGGGAGGTGGCCAGGCACTCAGGGCAGCAGGCACCGAGGGGCATCCGTGAGGGCGGAGGCCTGTATAAAGCTATGTCCTCGTGACCTCCTCTGGGCAGGTACCAGGACAGGGCTGGGCACTGGGGCAGGTGCGTCTCGGCCGGTCTCTAGATGGCAGGAGGCCACGGGCACAGACTAGGCCTGGAACCCCTCCTGTCCCCACTTACACTTGTCCAGCTGAGACAGGCTGAAGAGGTTCTGGACGTAGGCCTCCGTGCAGAACATGTTGGCCAAGAGGATCTGTGGGGGCCGGGGTCAGAGAGGATGGCTGCTTAGGGTCCTGGAGCTGACCCAGCCCTTGGCCCACCTGGGCCCACAGGCCTGGCTCAAGAGTTCCAGTTCCAGCCCTGACCCCTAGCCACTCTGTCCCCTAGAGTGGGCTCCTCAGCCTCTGAGACGTGCGCTCCCTCCCCCATGAGGTGGACGGCCACCCCACTGACCATTCCACGCGTGCCCTGGGCCAGCGCGCACGTGGCACGCAGGTGGACCGGTCACTTCGCCCCTTTCTTCTCTTAGGTAAGGGACCAAAGACGGCGCATGGCCGGTTTCCTGGGCGGCAAGGACTGTCCTGTGGCCACAGTATGGCAAAGCTGCCCAGCCTCCCGAGTGGCACCCTGGTGCACCTCAGAACCTCGGCCTCTTCCAGTGACCGCCTGCACGCGCCATGGGCCCCGGCTCACCCGGCCCTCTTGTCCCAGAAGTCCCTTGGGGCTGCGTCACCCGGGCCTGGGCTTCCCCAGCCACCGGCTTCATTAAAGTGCAGCAGGACCAAAGGCCTGGCTCACAAGTCCCAGCCGTGCGACTGCCACCTGCGCGTGTTCTGTCAGCAGGGCCAGCTGCTGGACTGTCCAGCCTGGCTTGCTGCATGGGGCCAGGGCGGGCTCACCTCATGGTCGTGGTTCCGGAGTCCGATGCGGATGGAGCGGCTGGCCCGGGACAGCACGGCCACCATGCCGTACAGGTTGATGAGGACGTTGGCCACCCGCTTCAGCACCAGCTGCTCCTCCACGACCGTCTGTGGACGAGGCTCAGCGTGGAGGCCAGCCACCTGGTCCCCTGGCCCTGCCCCCCCGACACACCTCTTTTTTTTTTGGTCCCAGGGATTGAACACAGGGACACTTGACCCCTGAGCCCCATCCCCAGCCCCTTTCATATTTTGTTTAGAGACAGGGTCTCGCTGAGTTGCTCAGGGCCTTGCTGTTGTTGAGGCCGGCCTCCACCTTGTGATCCTCCTGCCTCAGCCTCCTGAGCCGCTGGGATGACAGGCAGGGGCCACCCGCCCGGCCTGGTTTTCCCTTCTCTTTGTCCTGTCTGCACTTGGGCAGGTGTAAGGCAAGCCCAGGTCCCAGGGCTCGGTGTGCTCAGGTCACCTTCAGGAGCACGTAGGGTCACCCCGTGGACTCAGGCCAGGCAGATAGCCTGTCCCCTCCCCTCATTCCAGGGGGCCTGTCTCCATCTAGAAGGTGCCCTGAGAAAACACACCCAGCAGGCGTTCCCAGGTGCAGGCGAAGCCAGGTGACTGCCCCTGTTCAGAGTGACCAAGGTGTCTGTCCCAGGCATAGTCCTAAAGGTGGCTGCTGGCCACCTGGCTGCTGTGCCCCTGGCCGGCAGGGCCTGCTCACCTTTCCAAAGCGAAGCAGCAGGTTCTCCACGGTGCGGCCAAAGTAGTACACGTTCTCCTCGAGTTTGTTGGCACTCTCCTGTGGCCACAGGACACGGCAAGGCTGGGCGCCCATTCCCCACTGGGCCCAGTCCTGTCCCATGTGACAGCACACAGCCCAGCGCTCCAGGGCCCACGGGGCACCAGCAGGAACCCACAGCCCTAGCACACCCTCCGCATGGGACCCTGTGGCTGGGCGTCCCCATGCGGGTCCACTTGCTGGGCCTACTCACCCCAAGGCTGGGGTGGACCACTCCAAGGTTGCCCGTCAGCCCCAGGTCCACGGTTCGGCCCAGAGAGTCCCGAATCCTCCGGCCAACGGTCTCCATGATGGTGGTCACGTTGCCCCGTTTAAGTTCACTGCAGGGAGTTCAAGGTCCCAGGACCTGAGCCCCGACACTGGCCCTTGCTGCCACCATCACAGCCCCCCGCGCACCCCAGGGCCCTGTCGCCCACCCCAGCAAGACATGCGGGGCTCCTGGGCCCAGGGCGACTCTGGGCCTGCAGAGGGCAGGTGGGCCCCTCATGGGGCCTGTGCCTGTGGCCATCTTCTCCAAGGAGGTCCCCCAGCGAAGGAGGCTGCCAAGTGCCATCTGCAGCCCGGACTCGGGCTTCACAGGGCTCTGAAGGTTGCCACCTGGGACCAGGGCAAGATGGGGCAGGAGAGGCGACAGCAGAGGAACTGGCCTCTTGCTGGCCTTGAGGACAGCCTCTCTCCTCAGTTTCTGAAATGCTGGCCACCCCCGGGGTGGTGACAGGGCTGCCTGTTGGAGGTGGATGGTGCTTGGGGACCGAGGGCTGTGTGACGCTAGGGCAGGCCTCTGTCCCCCGGCCGGAGGACCGGCCCCGGCCTGGCTTCCTTGGCCCGGCAAGGCTGTCCCAGGACCGGGCAGCCCTTCCCTCTGCTCTCTGCTGGCCAGGCAGGGCCCTAGAAGCCACCGTGGGAATGTCACCTACTGGATCCTCTCGGTCAGGATGCGGCCGGCGTGCTGCAGGCCCGTGAGGGCGATGAACATCCGGAGAATCTCGTTGGTGCCCTGTGGCCAGTGGGGTGGAGGTCACCAGCTGTGCCAGGAGGTGGCCCAGCAGGGCTCCGGGGTTGGCAGGCCAGGCAGCGCCCACCGCCCGCAGCAGTGGCTTCCACCTCGGTGGCACCCCGAGCAGGGGACAGGAGGCAGGTGCACAGGGAGGTGCCCATGGCAGACAGTTGGCATGACCTCTCAAGGGGACCAGCGCCTCCCCTGGCCAGCCTCGTGGGGTCACCAGACTCCGTGACCAAAATACCCCAGCTCTCCCGGGTGCCGGGGGCACAGGAAGAACTGGACACAAGGGACACAGTCCGCTGGCTCTGGGCTGAGGCCAGACTCGTCAAGGAGGCTGCCGATGGCTGGGTGCCACCTTTGTGCCCAGGTCCCTCCTGGCGGGCACAGCCCTGGCCTGGGGTCTCCTGGGCCCTGAGACAGTCCCTGGATCCTCCCACCTGCGACCCTCGACGGCTCCAGACCTCGGTCATCATGTCCCCACTGTCCCTGACCCCTTCCCAAGGCCACCATCTGAGCCAGGCCACGGGGGGAGGAGTGGCTGGTGCTTCTAGAAAGATCTCCTTGCTCTCTCTTGCTCTTTCCACCACCCGGGCTCACCCTGAAGGTCCTGGGTGGGCCTGGCACGTTCTATTTCCCTGCTTCTTGGCCCAAACTGCCCCTCTCTAACCCTCATAAAGCCACCTTGTCCCCAAGGGCCAGGGGCACCTGCTTCACAGGACCCAACTCCTCGGGAGGATGTGTCTTCCACCGCACGGGGACCACGCACCCTCCTCGGGCATCCGGGGACACCAAGGTTGTCTCTGGCCTGGCCCTGGCCCGGTCTGGAGGTCACTAAGCTGACCCTAGAGCTGGGACCAGAGCCCAGGTCTCCACAAAGTGTCTGTCCCACACCGTGTGTTGGAGGGAGCTTGGCGAAGACCCACAAAGAGGTCCCAAGGGACCCTGGGCTCAGGCCTGAGCCGGCTGCTCGGCCTCCCCCAGCCTCTACCCTGGGCCACGCGGGGGTAGGAGGTTCCACGGGAGGCCACGGCCTGTCCTGGGCCCTGTGGCTGTGGCTGGGCCCTCAGTAGCACTTCCCAGGTCCAAGGAGGCAGCGAGGGGGGAGGGGGCGTAAGCAGGGCTCCTGGGGACATGGCTGGACGGCTCTCACCTCGAAGATGAGGAGGATGCGGGCGTCACGCAGCATGCGCTCGTAGGGGTAGTCCTTCATGTACCCCGAGCCCCCCAGGATCTGCAGCGCCTCGCTGACGCACTGCCAGGCGCTCTCAGAGCTGAACACCTGCCACAGACCAGGGTGACGTCAGCACAGGGGCTCTTGGGGCCAGCCTCAGCCACTTAGCGAGGCCCTAAGCCACTCAGGGAGACCCTGTCTCTAAATAAGATATAAAAAGGGCTGGGGACGGGGCTCAGTGGGTTCAATCCCCAGGACCCCCCGTACACCCTAAAAAAGAGCTCAATTAATTCCAGAGACCAGGGCCTTGTACCTGCTGGGCCACCCACCCAGCCTGCCCGCCATCCGCCATCTTGTTTATTATAGCTAAAAATGACTCTCTCCAAACAAAAGCATCCGGAAACTCTGGGATCTACCTTATGGAACATTCCAGAAAAAACATTCTGACACCACCAAGGAGCCCATGAGCTCAAAAATAGAAGACGCCCTTCTCAGGAGAGCCCGGCTGCTGTTTTATGTACCCTGACTGATGACTGTGCTGGCTCCTGTGGGTACAGGCCACCAAGGGCCAGGCAGAGGTCAGTACCCTGGGACACTGTTTGCTACAGCTCCTGCCGCACCCTAGGGCTGCCCTCCTTATCCCTGGAGAGCTTCCCACAGGGCCACAGCATCAGGGCTGGACCAAGGACGAGCTGACCTATAGACTACGGAGACAGAAAGTGGGGGCGACACTGTGGGGTACAGGGAAGGGGCCTCCCTCTCTCGTGCCAGCTCTGGGCCGTGACAGGGTTACCTTCACCATGGCTGCCTCCACGGAGCAGTCAGGCAGCTCGGGCTGGTCGAGCATGCCCGCCGTGAGGTAGGCCATGCTTTCCATGACGTAAGCCTTCTGAGCCATCAGGGCGAACTTCTCCTGGCAGGTTCAGAAAGACACAATCAGGAAGGGATCTGAGGGTGGGCTGGGGCGCAGGGCGCTGGCCTAGCATGTGCGAGGCCCTGGGTTCCATCCTCAGCACTAAAAAAAAAAAAAAAGGTGTCATCTGAGCTAGGTGCAGTGGCGCGCACCTGTCATCCCAGTAGCTTGGGAGGCTGAGGCAGGAGGATCGCAAGGTGGAGGCCAGCCTCAGCAACTTAGCGAGGCCCTAAGCAACTCAGGGAGACCCTGTCTCTAAATAAAATAGAAAAAGGGCTGGGGATGGGGCTCCATGATGGAAAAGGGGTCCATCCCTGGTTAAACCCACAAAGAAGGTGGCCAGGCCAGAGGCCCTGCTGCCCAGGAGAGCCCCGCCCAGGCTCATCAATGGGACTTCTGTCCAATGAGGCCTCACCCCGTGTTCTCTCCAAATCACCCACAAGACACTGCAGTACGGAGACAGCAACGGGACACACTTTCTACACCCACCAGGCGAAACCACAGCCCCTGGTACCTGAATCAATCCAAATTCACTAAGACGCTTGTTGAACTGCTTCCGCGTACAGGCATAGTCAGCAGTCAGTTCTGGAGAAGGGGTGTGAAAAAGCAGCAGCACATTCCTGAGTAGCCAAAAATGATTCCCAAAGGTCCCTGCTGTCACCTTCCAATACCCAGCAGGAACTAGCAGAGAAGTGTGTGCTGCCAGACGCCCTGGCCCACGCCCGTCACCCCAGCCACTCAGGAGGCTGAGGCAGGAGGATCGCAAAGTGGAGGCCAGCCTCAGCCACTTAGTGAGGCCCTGTCTCGAGTCCCCTGACGCTCCAGGGGGAGGTGGAGGCCTGCCTGGGCCAGGTGATCTCAAGGTGTCCACGTAGGGACAGGCGCACGGGCCCAGGCAGGTCGCTGGACAACATAAGAGGAGGGACACGGGGAACGCGGAGGCTCTTAGGTCAGAGTGGGTCAACAGGGCCAGACAGTGCCACCAAGGGTCCCGGCCCTGACTTACCTACCAATCAGTTTCTTGAGCATCCCGGCCACCACGCTGCCCATGCTGAAGCGCCCGCTGTTGAGGATGTTCATGGCCACCTGGGGGGAGCAGGCAGTGAGGGAGGAGGGGACAGACCACTCCCACCTGTTTCCCAAAGAGGGTTCTTCTTTTTATGGGGGAGGCCCTTGACCCCTGAGCCCCGTCCCCAGCCCGATTTTGTACTTTATTTAGAGACAGGGTCTCGCTGAGTTGCTCAGGGCCTCATTTTTGCTGAGGCTGGCCTCCACCTTGAGATCCTCCTGCCTCAGCCTCCCGAGTAGCTGGGATGACAGGCTGCGCCACTGCGCCTGGCCCCAGCAGGATGATTTAAAAACAAAAGTTGCCATGGTGATTGGTGAAAAATGATTGCTTTAATACGCAGAGGAAAAGAGACTTCTGACATTTTTCTGGGTTACTAGTGTGCTTGCTGCCCTCAGCCTGAACATGAAACGGAATGGCACACTCCAGTGAATCCAGAGGTCTCAGTGTGACCAAAGGCCAGGTGACAGTGAGCGGCTGCTGGGAGGGCTTTTCCCTCTTGGGTGGTCAAAAGGTTGTATCAATAGAAGCAGCAGCCAAGTGACAGGGAGGGCTGTTGAAAACCGGACTGAAGAGCATAGCTGTAAACATAGGAGGAGGCCGGGGCGGGGACACACCAGCAGCTCAGGAGGCTGAGGCAGGAGGATCGCAAGGTGGAGGCCAGCCTCAGTGACTTAAAAAGCCCCTAAGCAACTCAGCAAGACCCTGTCTCTAAATAAAATATAAAAAGGGCTGAGGATGGGGCTCAGAGGTCGAGGGCCCCTGGGTTCAATCCCTGGGACCCCTCAAAAAAACACCCCCTACTGTGTGATTCCACTTCTAGGAACCCCCCCGAACTGACAGATGCCCTGAAGCGCAGTCAAGAGGTAGTTCCCAGAGCACAGGGGAAAGGTGGGGCCCGAGACATGGCATCACTCTGGTGACATTGCCCTGGTGTCCTGCAGTCAGAGGGGACGGCTGCGCAGTGTCCTGAGTACGCTGAAGACAACAGACGTGTGTGTCTTACGGTGGCAAATTTGAGGTCATGGGAATTGCTTCTTAATAAAAGAAGAAATCCAAACAGTCGGGGCTGGGACTCCAGATTGAGGGCTGTGTGTTAGCGTCTCTGGAGCCCAGTGGGGACAGGAGTCCCTTCCCTTTCTCAGGATGAGGGAGGCCTTGCGAGGAAGGAAGTCCAGGGCTAAGCAAAGACTCCTTTATCTGCGTTTGACTGGTCACCCATTTTTTTTTTTGGACCAAGGAGCAGGGACAAGATGGAAAGTGGGACCACCACGTGGGGCTCAACCAGCTACTCACCTTAAAGCCACCTCCAACTTCTCCAAGGACATTTTCCACGGGGACTTTGGTGTTTTCAAAATGGACTTCACAAGCTGAAATATGAAATGTAAGACTTTAGTGGACAAATGCAAACCTCTGTCCCCCAGACCCCAGGCATGTGGTGCACTCATTCTGTTAAGATCTGGATCAATCCACACAATTGATAAGTTATTGATAATTTATTGATTATAGATCAAGAAATATGCATTACTAAAATAGTAAGTAGAGCCATAGTGACTCCATCTTTGTTTTAAGAATTGTTAAAAATTTGTGGCTGGAGTTGTGGCTCAGTGGCAGAGCGCTTGCCTACATGCAAGGGGCACTGGGTTCGATCCTCAGCACGACATAAATGTCAAATGAAGATATTGTGTCCACCTAAAACTAAGAAATAAACATTTAAAAAAATCTTTGTTTTTCTGTGCTTCATCCATCTGCAAACGTACTTGGACCCAGGATGTGGGGTCCGACTTGCTGTGCTCACTGCTTTTCTGAGCCCTTGAACCCTGGATCCTGGACAACAATCCCAGTGGATCAGGAGGCTGAGGCAGGAGGATTGCAAGGTGGAGGCCAGCCTCAGGAACTCAGCAAGGCCCTAAGCTACTCGGTGAGACCCTGTCTCTAAATAAAATACAGAATTGCATGCTATTCACAGACTCCATAGGATGTGGTTTTCTTCCTTAAATACTGGACCACAGACAGCCTGGCGCACTTCTGTGACAGGCCGCTGCGGGTGGCAGAAGTGTCCCTGGCCGGGCAATAAGCTAACTCATTTCAGATTCGGGTGTCCCCTGAGCGGTGTCCCTGTGCAGTTCAGGACATGCAGGGACAGGACGGGGCAGAGCTCCTGTCTTGGTGGAGCTCGGGTGTTGGTCAGGGAGATGAAACTATAAACTGCTGGCCCCCGTGGGCAGGACACTGGCTCCCTGATGTCACCTGTGCCACCGGCCTTCTCTCGTGGGCCCTGCTCAATAGCAGCAGCACCCCCCCCACCCTAACTTTTGTGGACATGGGGTCCCCGCAGAGCTGGCCCCAGGCACCTGCCAGGCTGTCTTTAGAGAGAAGGTGGCGGAGGGGACTGGGCGGTGGCTCAGGGGCAGAGCACTTGCCCAGCGTGTGTGAGGCACTGGGGTCCATTCTCAGCACCGCATAGAAACAAATAAATAAAGGTCCATCGATAACTAATAAAGACCTTTAAAAAAATTCTTAACTGGTGTTTTATAATTATACTTCACACTGGGACTCCCTGTGCCACAGCTGGACATGCGCGTGACATAATTTGCTTCATCTAGGACCTTCCCTCTCCTCCTTCTCCTCCCTCCCCTGATCCACTTGCTGTACTTGATGGATTTCCCTTCTATTATTATTATTATTATTATCATTATTTAAGTTACTGCATCATCCATTACATACATAAAAGCAGGACTCAGGCTGGGCGCGGTGGCCCACGCCTGTCATCCCAGCAGCTCGGGAGGCTGAGGCAGGAGGATCGCAAGGTGGAGGCCAGCCTCAGCCACTTAGCGAGGCCCTGTCTCTAAATAGTTTTAAAAAGGGCTGGGGACAGGGCTCTGTGGTCAAACTCCCCTGGTGAGCCTCAGCGGCCCTTCATTTCCCTCCAGCTTCCACAGGGGAGAACAAAACCGCGCCCTCCGACTTCCTGAGCCCAAAGCCAAGGTGCAGACGAGCTGAGGCCGAGAGCAGCCCCTTCCTCCACCGCCTGTCCCCGGCCCCACAGCGACTGTGCGGGGGGCTCCCCTGGAGCTCAGGCTCCCTGGGCCCCAGGCAGGGAGATGCTGTGCGGGATTCTGCCACCTGGAAGGCAGGGTCCCCACAGAGGTGGGCCCAGGAGTGCCCGTGGGAACATGCGGTCCCCTCCAGGAGGCACACTGAGACCTCCACTAGAGGGGGCAGGAGGACCCTAGGATGGGTGGATGAGTGCAGGACAACAAAGGTCACCTGTCCCCAGTCAACGGCGCTCAGCAGGGACAACAGGCAGGCTTGGGAGGGCAGGAGGGGATGCGAGAGGACACAGGCTCCAGCCACGAACGAGGGGGTGGCCTGTCCGAGGATTTTACCTACGACACTTTTTTTTCCTTTTGGTACCAGAGATTGAACCCAGGAGCACTCGATCCCTGAGCCCTGTTCCCAGCCCCATTTTGTATTTTATTTAGAGACAGGGTCTCGCTGAGCTGCTCAGGGCCTCACTGTTGCTGAGGCTGGCCTCCAACTTGTGATCCTCCTGCCTCAGCCTCCCGAGCCTCTTGGATGACAGGTGTGCGCCATCACACTGGCTTACCCAGGACACTGGCTGTCGGCCTTTGTAATCTCTGTTCCTCTGATGGCCTTATCCCTCTGGAAGCCACCAAAGCTTAACACACAGAGCGGTGCCCAGCTGGTGACTGCAGAACGAATGAGTGATTTCCAGGAGCTCACCTATCACCAGGGAAGTCTTCAATGGCCTTTCTACCAACAATGTTGACTTCCTGCCCAAACTATTTATTTGTGACTGGGAACTGAACCCAGGGAGTACCAAGCTGCACCCCAAGTCCTTTCTATTTTGAGACAGAGTCTTGCTAATTGCTGAGAATTCAATGTGGAGGCTGGCCTCAAAGTTGTGATCCTCCTGCCTCAGCCTCTTGACTCACTAGAATTACAGGTGTGTGCTTCCGTACCTGGCTCCATAAGGATTTAAATCTTATTTACCTGGATATTTGGACAGAGCAGAGGGCCAGACACACACTGTCATACACACACACATAGACACCCACACGACTTACTGTTGGAGCCCCGAATGCCTAATTTATCCTCCGGTTTCCCATTAGTGACGCCACCAAAGTCCCTTTCCACTATGAAAGCTGTCATCTTGTCTTTTACTGAGCCATCGGAATCGACCACCTCAGTCTTGGCAAACACAGTGAAGATGTTGGCCAGTCCCCCGTTGGTGATCCAGACCTGAGGACAGAGAGCAAGGGGTCCTCAGAGACTCCTCTCGGCTCTACCACCACCTGTGAGGCCCCAACGAAGGAACTTTTCATCTTTTTTTGGCACCAGGGATTGAACCCAGCGGTGCTTGACCCCTGAGCCCTGTCCCCAGCCTTTTTTATATTTTATTTAGAGACAGGGTCTCGCTGAGTTGCTGAGGCTGGCCTCCACTGTGCGATCCTCCTGCCTCATCCTCCTCCTTGCGATCCTCCTGCCTCAGCCTCCTGAGCTGCTGGGAAGACAGGCCTGTGCTTTACTTCGACCTTGATTCAAGAGGCATGAGCTAATTTGGGAAATCTGAATGGCGACTAGATAGTAAGAAAGCGATAATGGTATCCCAGCTCTCTGTCTCTTAGGGGTCCGTGTTTGAACTGTGACAGATGCAGTCAAGAGGCCATCTTGATGGAAGAGACCCAGCCAGCTGTGAAAGGGGACCTGATGGCCTGTGCTCAGTCAAGGACAGGCACTGTCCCAGACCTCCGGATGCATGAAATTCTATGTAACTAAGAATTCTGGCTCCGGGCGCAGCTGGGAGTCCAGCATCAGGGACACTGTGGCCAGGCCTGGCTCTGTCACCAGAGGGACAGAAGACCCGTGCAAGCCACTTGAGGACTGAGCACTGCTCCTGAAAAAGGAGGAGCAGTCACCTGTTGGATAGTCACCAGAGGGTCACAGACCTGAGCACAGGAAGAGGCCCAGTGGTGGCAGTGAAGGCGGCCACCAAGACCTGACAGGGCGGGGTGGTGAGGCTGTACCTTGGAGCCATTGAGGACGTAGTGCTTCTTGTCTTCAGTTAACGTGGCCCTGGTCTGGATGGAGGCGGCGTCACTCCCACTGCAGGGACAGAGAGACGTGGGTGAGACGTGGGTAGAAGAACCCTGGGAATACACCAGAGTCGGCCGAGAGCCTGGAAATGGAGGGTCTTAGGAGTCAAGTCCACAGGAGGCGACACAGCCTCCAAACACAGGGTCAGACCACACACAGGGTCAGCTTTAAAGCTGCGTGTGGTGGCGCACGTCTGTCGTCCCAGTGGCTCGGGAGGCTGAGGCAGGAGGATCGCAAGGTGGAGGCCAGCCTTAGCCACTCAGCGAGGGCCTAAGCAACTCAGCAAGATCCTGTCTCTGGATGACCGTTCCAGGTTCCCGAGTAAAGGAAGGCAGCATTAGGTGTGGCCTGGTCACAAGACACTTGAGTCCTACCCAGCCCTGTCCCTATCTAGCTGTGTGACGCCCCCCACGGAACCTCCAGCTCCTAATCTGAAGATGGAGACCCACCGCACGCACCGCGCGTGTCCTGAAAGGTGCTTGGATGCCTGAGGGCCAAGGGGACTGTCAGTCACAAACACTGGGGTGACAGAGGCTGATGGGTCTCGTTGGGAATAAGAAATTAGACAGAGGTAAGAGAAGTGGCCAGAGAGCAGCTGCAAGTCTCTGCGAGGCCTCAGGTGGGGACGGAATGAGGTCAGCCACTCCTGATAACAGCCCTCTGTCCCTGGGAGCTCTGGACATGGCCCGTGGCTGTGGGAGTCGGCTCAGGGGAGGGCCGACCTGGCTGGCTCGGTGAGGCAGAAGGCGGCGATGTGCTCCCCCAACGCCAGTCTGGGCAGGTACTTGGCCTTCTGTTCTTCGGTGCCAACCAAGATGATCCCCTAAAAGAAACGCACAGACATTTTTTATTTGTTCCTTTTGGCTACAAAAGACGGCAGTGTGCATCCTGCCATGTCCCACCTACACGGGGTGTGACTTCCCATTCCTGTGGCTGGACCTGCTGTGGGCTGTCCCTGGTCGTGGGTTCCTCTGTGAACATGGGAAAGTGACGTCCATTCATTCCCCTGTCTCTCCCAGTCCCCTCCCCTCCCTTCCCTCCACTCCCTGGAGTCTCATCCAGTGAACTACTGTCCCCCCCTTATTGTGGGTCAGCGTCCCCATATCAGAGAGGACACTCAGCCTTTGGTTTTGGGGACTGGCTGATTTCACTCAGCATGATCGTCTCTAGCTCCATCCATTATCGGCAAATGCCATAATTTCATCCTTCTTTAAGGCTGTGTAATATTCCACTGTGTATATGGACCACCGTTTCTTTTATCCATTTATCTGTGGAGGGGCACCTAGGCTGGTTCCTAAGTCTCCAGACTGCTTTCCATAGTGGTGACACCACTGGCACTCCCAGCACTGTGTGCATGAACCTTTCCCCCATATCTTTGCTAACATTATATCACTTGTGTTCCTGACAATCACCATTGTGAAGAGCCGAGAGTGAGTCCTGATGTCCCTCGTGAGGATAATGCTGATGTCCTGCCAAAGAGGACAGCAGGTGCCCAGAGCTGACGGCTGTAGGTGGGGGCCGGCTGCTGAGAGGCCCCTCCTGCACCTGCCTCAGGGCAGTGCTTTGGGCTTAGACCCTGGGACCTTCATCCCGACCCTTCCCCTGCACAGCAGGGCACCTAGGGCCTGGACTGTCCCTCCTCTGAGTCCCCACTTTGTGATCTCCAAGTGGGGGCTGCCCCCTCCTAGCAGGTGCTCTGGATAATGGGAGGTGAAGACGTGGGAGGGCTGGGACCATGCGCAGCCAGTGTCCCCAGGGTCCCCTGCTCTCTGGGGAGGGCAGCTGGGCTGGGTCTCTTCCCTGATGTCTACACGGAGCAGAGGGAACCCTCATGGGACTGCCACTGAGACCTGTGTGTCCCTGGGCCTGGCCCAGTGGGGTAAGGAGTCAGGTGCACACACAGCGGGGGACAGCCCAGGGAGCCCGCTCCTGGCCTGCAGAACATTCCACCTCGTTCTCAAAGAAGGGGTCAGAGCCGGGCAGGCAGGATGGGGGTTTAGTGTGAAGGGATGGCATGAGCGGAGGGTCACTGCTACATGGGCCAAGGAGAGGCCACACGTATGGTGACCACGAGTCCTGAGAGTGGCTAGAGCGAGTGGCATGGAGGTGGACTCACCTTCCAGGACCTCGATGTATCAGGCCTGATGTCCTGCTCACAGGGGCAACCATGACCCTGCCCCCTGTCCCCTTCAGAGAGCCCCAGGGAGAAACCCCAGCATCTGACCTTGAGGCCGATGGCTTGGTGAGCTGCCAAGGTCACGGTGATGGAGCCATCTAGGCTGATGATCTCCCCTAGACGAGCGTACATGGTGTTGGAGAGGCCCAGGCCACCTAGGAGGGAGGGACCAGTGTCAGTCACAGTTCAGCCCACCTCCTCCCATTAAGGCAAAAGGTTTCACTGCCTTTTATTTCTTTTGAATTATGTAAGTAAAACTGGATCACCATTAAAAAAACAAAACCACACCGGGTGTGGGGGCACATGTCTGCAATTCCAGAGGCCGAGGAGGCTGAGGCAGGAGGATCAAAAGTTAGAGGCCAGCCTCAGCCACTTAGTGAGGCCCTGAGCAACTCAGTGAGACCCTGTCTCTAAATAAAATAGAAAAAGGGCCGGGGATGGGGCTCAGGAGTCAAGTGTGCCAGGTTCAATCCCCAGTTCCCCACAAAAAAAAATCATAATGAAACCTAGGGCTTCAAACACATTGGGCAAGTATCTCCCCTATGAGCTACACCCCACTTTTTCAAAAAAAAAAAAACAAACTTTTTTTGAGACTGGCTAAGTTACTGAGGGTGGCCTCCAACTTTTTCTTTTTAATACTTTTTAGTTGTCAATGGACTTTTATTTTTTACTTATTGATACACAGTGCTCAGAATCGAACCCAGTGCCTCACACATGCTAGGCAAGCGCTCCACCACTGAGCCACATCCCCAGTCTGAATGCTGATCTGACCTCAACTTTCACCTTGGTCTTAGCATGGACCATATCTAGGTTAGGGACCAGCAGGAAAGTACGGTACAGATTTGACAGCCCCTGTCCTCTGCTGCAGGAAGTAAGGTCTCCCTAGAGGCCAGGCAGGGGAGAGAACAGAAAGACAGTCTTCCATGGATGGCTGTGGAAAGTCTAACTCGTAAAACACACTCAACAGTGCGTCTGCAAAGGACCCGCTGCAGCCCGGAAATGTGCCTGATCCTTAAAGCACCACCGAGCCCTGTCTCGCCCACATCTGCAGAGCCTCTATTATGGCTGGTGGAGGCTGCCCCAGCAAGGCCTGGGAACAGGCAGGGCGAAGTACCAGGGCCACCATTTGGTCTAGGTGGTGTACCTTCAGAACAGCAGCCTCTCAGGGAAATGCAGAGTGACCCTGACGAGCCACACCAGCCGGGGTGGCTCCTTCACTTACCATATTCTTCTGGGACCTGCATTCCAAAGAGGCCCAGGCTTTTCAACTTTTCCAGGGTGTCGTCCGGGATTTTCCCCTCCCGGTCAATTTTCTGAGAATCCACTGAGAAAAGAAAACGTCTTGATGAAACAAAATATGAGCAAGCCATCTTCATGCCGAGAAAGAGATGCAGATGCTTTTGGCAGAGCATCTGACCCCAGTGCCAGCAGTTTCTCAAAACTACTCGAAATTTCTAGAAGGATTCTCGAAAATTCTCAAAACTGTCTAGTGATGGTCACACTGAATCACTGACTTGATTTGATGTAGTTTGTAGAATTGTGGTGTAAAGCCAGCAGGGCTAGGTGGCTGTCTGCTGACCTGGTCACTGGTCGCCTGGTGCCTTAGCCATGTGAGATGGCGGAGGCACACAACTCCTGGTGTATGGCTGCAACACCAGGCCAATCCCCATCCAGGCAGTGACCGGGGCTCCCTCGACCCCACTGTCCAAAAGCCTCCACGGTGTCACCACAATCTGCAGGCTGAGCCCCAGCCCCAGCTCTTTTTATACTTTATTTAGAGATAGGGTCTCGCTGAATTGCTTAGGGTAAGCTGAGGTTGGCCTCCAATTAGCAATCCTCCTGCCTCAGCCTCCAGTCTGATCAGCATCGATTCATCCATCCCCCATCAACACGCACACCCACAAGTGCAAAAGGGAACAGTCTCTAGCACAGGATTAGAAAGTGTGTCCTTCCTATGTGTTACAGTAATGCTTTTCTGTATGTGTGTCGGAGGGTTACTGGGGATCGACCTCAGGGACACTCAAACCCTGAGCCCCGTCCCCAGCCTATTTTGCATTTAACTTAGAGACAGGGTCTCACTGAGCTGCTTAGGGCCTCACTATTGCTGAGAATCGCTTTGTCCTGCCTCAGCCTCCCGAGCCACTATAATGGCAGGCGTGTGCCACATAGAACCCCCCCCCCCTTTTTTTTTAAATTTTTTAGTTGTCAATGAACTTTATTTTTATGTGGTGCTGAGGATCAAACCCAGTGCCTCACACATGCTAGGCAAGTGCTCTACCACTGAGCCCCAGCCCCAGCCCCCCCATCCAGAATTTTTGGCACAAATTATTCGAGGCCTACACACTAAAAACCCCACGCATAAAACACTAAGAGAAAATAAAATGACCTAAATAAAGGGGGAGATAGGCCAAGATGCTGTACTCTCAGTTCCCCATCACGCTGATTCATGAACTTTCTGAAACCACAGCCAATGCCGCAGGCATGCTGAGAACAGAAGGCTGATTCTAAAACTCCCTGGGAGTCCAAAGGGCCTGGAGTCCACATGACTTCAGAAGACAGCCAAGCTGAAGGGCCAGCACTGCCCAGTTCTGAGCTTATTAGAAGGCCCAGTAAATAGGTCAAGGGGATGTTTGTGGGAACAGGAGACAATCAATGTAGGATTCAAAACAGACCCACACCTAAATGGTCCATCTAGTTTTGATGGAGGTGTCTGGTTAATTCAATGGGGAAAGAATAATCTTTACAGTAAGCGCAGCTGAACAGTTGGATATTGTCCCATTGTTTCAAAACCCCCAAAAAGACATCCTCAAACTTCTACCCCATGCCACAGACCTCATTAACCTGGGTCACATCACAGATCTAAATGTAAGAGTTATCTAACTACGGAACTTGAAAAGAAAAGACAGATGAAAATTGTTATGGACCTGGTGGTGTTCCCATATACGATCCAAAAAGCGCAAACTAGCAAAGAAAAAACTTGCACTTTATCCACATTAAAAACTTTTTACTGTTTATTTTTTAATTTTTATTGTTTTTTGGTATCAGGGATTGAATCCAGGGGCACTTAACCACTGAGCCACATCCCCAGCCCTTTTTCATATATTTCATTTTGAGGCAGGATCTCACTGAGTTGGTTAGGTCTCGCTAAGTTGCTGAGGCTGGCCTCCAACTTGGGATCCTCCTGCCTCAGCCTCTTGAGCCACGGGATTATAGGCGTGCAGCACTGAGCCTGAATCTTGGTAGCTTTTAATAAAGCAGCAATTTGTATGGTCCCTAAAGCAAAGTATTATGAATTAATGAAACTTTATTCTGATGCTGCTCCTAATATAAATATCCATGTGGGATGGGGCTGTGGCTCAGTGGTACAGCACTTGCCTAGCATGCGTGGGGCACTGGTTAGATTCTCAGCACCACACATAAATAAAATAAAACCCACCAACAACTAAAATATATATTTGAAAAACTACTGATGCAATCACTCTTACAAGGAAAATGAGAAATGATGAGGAAACCACACCTACCTTCTTCATTGAAGAATTTTTCCACGGGTCCCACAAACTGATTGATTTCGTTAAGTTCATCTTGGCTAACCTCTGGAAATGGGAAGACTCCTTTCTAAAAATGACAAACATTTACTAAGCATTATTATTATTATTACTTGGTATTGGCAATTGAACCTAGGGGCACTTAGCCCCTGAGCCCCATCCCCAACCCTATTTTGTGTTTTATTTAGAGACAGGGTCTCACTGAGTTGCTCAGGGCCTCACTAAATTGCTGAGGCTGGCTTTGAAGTCGTGATCCTCCTGCCTCAGCCTCCAGAGCTGCTGGGATTCCAGGTGTGTGCCACCAGGAATTCCAGCAGCTTGGGAGGCTGAGGCAGGAGGATCACAAGTTTGAGGCCAGCCTCAGCAAAAGCAAGGCCCTGAGCAGCTCAGGGAGACCCTGTCTCTAAATAAAATACAAAATAGGGCTGGGGATGGGGCTCAGGGGTCGAGGGCCTCTGGGTTCATTCTCTGGTCCCCCTCCCCTCAACAAAAGGCTGCTATTGGAGAACACACTGAGATTGCCAGGCCTGACTCCCCAGAGCTGCTGTCCCTCCTGCCACTGCCAGTGACTCCCTGAGCTTACTGTGCCAGAGAGGAGGATCCCACTATTCCTCTTGCGACTGATCAAGGCTCCCTGTGCTGAGGGTGTGCAGGGTGTGGTCACGGGGCGAGGCCTGGTTGTGCAACTCCAAGGCCTCTCTCTGAGCCAATTTCACTTTAATCTCACATGATCCTGATCATTTCAAAAGCACCTGGGACATTCAAAACAGGTCAAGTGTGCTGCAAGATGCAGGAACTAAATCTCAGTGTCTGATTCTGGTTCTGCTCCTGTCCACAGCTGTGGCCTACAGAGTGACTTAGCTTCCAGGCTCTGATTTGTCACCGTGAACAGCCAACGAGGCCAAGATGCCCTGCTGGCTTTTGAATTCATCTGGCAGTGGCCTGCACCACGGGCCTTCCGGGTTCCAGTCCCCACTTCGGCTGCTCCCATGACATGAGGATGTGGCTTTGGACACACAGCGGCCTAGCCCGGATGGATCACCAGAAGGGACAGAAAACACAGGAATGATGAGAATAAGAGGAACCATAAGTCAGGGCCAGGAGCTCTGACTTTCCTCTTGGGACCCAGGTCACCTCGTGACCCAGGAGGTACTTCAGACGAGTCCTCCACCTCCCTGTACCCTGCACCTCGAATCAGTCACCTGACTGAACTGTGTCAGTGTGTCCTCCAATCCGTCTGCTCCTCTCTGGCCCCAGGACTGCAGGGTTTTGGCCCTAACCAAAGTGACAGCTGAACTGGTGGGAACCCCTGATCTCCCCTCACGACACTGTCATCCAGGGGTCTAGAGAGGAAACACACAGGTGACTCTCACTGGGCAGCCTTAGCACAAAGCTGTCCCTTTCCACGAGGACACAGAGGCCATAAGTGCCCTGGTCATATTTGTGTTCACGGCCTCCCTGGTCCTCTGGGCCTTGTGTGTCCTGAGGGGTATCGATTCGGGATGAGGACAAAAGGCAGGCTGGCCCCTGAAAGCCACCAGCAAAGGATCACTGCTGCAGGAGGGAGGTCCTGGGGTGGGAAAGAGCAAACGTTGACACCATCAGACCAGAAGGGAATGGGGGGCATCCCAGAGGGAGTTTGCAAGTTTAGAGAGCAGCAAGCCCTGCCCGTCAGCCACCTAAGACAGAAGCCAAGCGTGTTAAGACTCAGGAAGCCAAGGCTGCTCATGGCAGGTGACCTTCCATTTATCCCAGTGGTCCCCCCAGGGACAGCAGGACAACTGAGGGCAGTGTGCTAATCCCTGGATTGAGGGTCTGGAAGATCTGTCCCTGTTCTGAGGTTTTAAGTGGTGCCACAGACCTGCTCAAGACCCAGAATGCTGTGCAGATGGTGGCAGCCTGATTCAGGGTCGATGAAGGGAAGGTACTTAACACCGGTCGGGTTTAAAGAGGACCCGAAGGTACAGAAAACTCGTGAACTCTGAGAATAAGAGGAATCAAAGGTGACGCCAGGAGACTGGCAAAGCCTTTCTATTAGCTGTGGAAAAATTGGGCTAGTGGGAGGTGCAGGACTGCATGGGGACCAGGAATAAACTCCCAGATACAGCCCAGTGTGGTGGCGCATGCGTGTCATCCCAGCAGCTCAGGAGGCTGAGGCAGGAGGATCGCAAGGTGGAGGCCAGCCTCAGCAACTTAGTGAGGCCCTAAGCAACTCAGTGAAACCCTATTTCTAAATAAAATATAAAAAGGGGCTGGGGATGGGGTTCTGTGAGTAAGCACTGAGTAAGTTCAATTCCTGATGGCAAAACCTAAATAAATAAACCCCAGCAGATATCCTAATTACAGATGCCCATTACAGCCCTGAAATGGAGCTTCTGAGCAGAAAGGTAGACAAAAAAAGTCTAGAATAGAGGAAAGAAATAGAGGCCGGAGAAGCAAGTTTGAGTCATGAGGACATAGATGGCATTTAAAGCCAGGACACTAAACTAGACCATCAAGAGGGTAATTATAGATGCAAAGAGGTGTTCTTATGCTGCACCTTAGAAAAGGCCAACTGCAATCAGGCTGGTGGGAACCACGGGCGATCGTCTAGAGGTGAAGGAGCCAAGAAACCAGCACAGGACACTGGGAGAGACTGGTTTCCAGAAGGTAGATGGATGGAGTGCAGCCAAGGAGACAGAGCACTGAACTGTGTCAGGGGCCACCCGTGGGCTTAGGAGGAGAAAGACTGAGAATAGATCCTTAGATGTGACATCATGGAGGTCACGGCTGACTTTGATGTCAGGGACAAAGCTTGAATGGTTCAATAGAGAAAATAATCGATATGGAAGAGAAAGGAAATGAATACCCTTGAGTGGATGAGAAGGCTGGTGTGCAATGACTGAAGTGGCCATTGTCAGGAGTAGTGGGCACACATGACGGGCGGGTGGGTGACCTGCAGGGGTCAAAGTTCTCCTCTGGCTACTGTTCTGTGTCAGTGTGTCCTCCAATCTGTCTGTTCTTCTCTGGGAAGCACCACGGATATGAAGTGGGGGTGGGGACAAGGTGCCAGTGGCTTAGTGACTGAAAGAGGACTAAGAGATTCCAGTTTTTCTTCATTGCGCAACTGGGAGTCAGACAGCCCCAGGACAAAGCACCCACACACCCACTTCCCCTTTGGGGGGAAGATGGTTTCTCTCATTTTAAAGCTGCTAGCTCTGCCCTTCCGAGCAGGGTGGGTCACTCCTGGTCCCAGTCTCACCTTCTGCCTCTGTAATGCCATCTACCTAAGGGTTTGTCCTGACACCTGGGACAGAACGATCTAGAGCCAGGGAATAACATTTTTGCGGGGCACAGGATCAGATCGCATTTTGACTAAGCCCAAAGAAGTATGAGGTGACCCCTGTGGCCACGCCTACTTTGTAAAGTGCCAAGGGACAGAGAAATAAAGTCATCAGTCCAAGGGAGCAAAAGTAATTCGCCTTGAAGTCACCACTTTTTCTTTTTTTTTTTTTTCCCCTTTTGGGTTGTGGGGACTGAGCCCGGGGGGGGGGGCCCTCGACCCTTGAGTCCCCATCCTCAAGCCCTTTTTTGAGTGTTTTATTTAGCGACAGGGTCTCGCCGAGCTGCTGAGGCTGGCTTGCACCTCGTGACCCTCGTGCTCGCTCAGCCTGTGGGATCACAGCCGGGGGCTCAGCCGTGTCCCTTCAGTGTCGCAGAGAGCGGGGGACTCTGCATTTCCTGTCTCCCGGGGGCTCATGCACACCGCCCGCTCCAGTGGGGGGGGGGCGGTCAAAGGACTTGACTTTAAAGCCGCAGAAAAAGGTGGAAAAAAAAAAAAAAAAAAAACCAGGGCTCTCTGACCCAGCTGTGGCTCTGGGATCTCGGACAGGGACGGCGTGGGACAGGCACCTGGTGGGCGAAGCCCAAGGGTCCCGGGGAGCGCCGGGGCTGAGCCGCCGAACGGAGCCCGGGAGCCCAGACGCGGCTCCGCACAGGCCCCGGCAGAAGGCTCTGCAAGGCCCTGCCCTCCCCCCTGCGCGGTCCCCCTCCCGGGCCTCGGGGACCTGGAGTCTGGGCGCCGTCCCCCGGGGGTGCCCGTCGGGCAGGTGCGGGGCGCCGCCGGAGCCAGCCGCCGAGCGCGCAGAGGCCGCCCGGGCTCCCTTACCTTCTCGATTTTGCCCAGGAAGAGCTCCTTGGCGAAGGCCCGGCTCGGCGGACTGGTACTCAGCGGGCGCCGGCTCGCGCTGAGGGCCACCCGAGCCCGGCAGGCTCGCGCCGCCGTCGCCGCCCGGCGCAGGAAGAGCGCGCAGCCGCTCATGCCGCCCTCCTCCGCTCAGGGAGTTCTGTCACCTCCAGCTCCGCGCCGCCTGAGGACGCCAAGAGCCCGCGCCGCTTGATGACGCCATGGGCCCGCGCCGGCGCGCCGGTGCCCCTACGCTTGCGTGGCCACGCCCCCGCAAGAGCCGCTGCGCTTGCTGGCCACGCCCTGCGTGAAATGAGGGGCGGGGCCACGCCTGGGGCGGGGCGTCAGGAGGTTCCCTTCAGTCAAATGCCGCAGGGCACGCTCTGGAGGCTCCCCGGTGCCTGGGGAGGAGAGCCGCGGGCCACCTGCCTCTCTCCTGTCACCTCCAGGACCAGGCCTGGGGATAAGGAAAAAAAAGAGCAAGGAAGCAGGGAAAATTCAAGGCCTAAATGGGTCTGGAGGGAGCTCAGCTGTGGAAATGTTGGTTTTGCCTGGGGCTTGCACGTGGGTTCCGCGTGTGTGCAAGTTACTGTTTATGGTAGGTGACCAGGTGACAGGCCCAGCGTCCCCACAGCGCCCCGCGCAGCCTACGGTGCCCTGCAGCAGGCAGATGGGCGTTAAGGAAAAAAATATATAGATATAATTGTTATATATTTTAATATATCATAATATGTAATTTTTTATTTTATTTTATTTTTTTACCGGGGATTGAGCCCAGGGGTGTTCAACCACCAACCCCCATCCCCAGTCCCGTTATTTTCTATTTAGAGACAGCGTCTCACTGAGTTGCTCAGGGCCTCACTAAGTTGCTGAGGCTGGCCTCCAACTGGCAATCCTCCTGCCTCAGCCTCTCATGTCACTGGGATTATAGATAGTCATGTCCCTCCGTGCCTGGCCAGGGCATAGTTTCTAAGTTCTATAATAGAGTGCCACTAATTTACCTTTTTTGTTGTTGTTGTTCAGTTTCCTCATCTGTGAAAAGTGAGTGTAGGGCTGGATACAGTGGCACATGCCTGTCATCCCAGCAAGCTCTGGAGGCTGAGGCAGGAGGATCTCAAATTCAAGGCCAGCCTCAGCAAAAGCAAGGAGCTAAGCGACTCAGGGAGTCCCTGTCTCTAAATACAGAATACTCCTGGGGACGGGGCTCAGGGGTAGAGAGGGCCCCTAGTTCAATCCCTGGTACCAAAAAAAAAAAAAAAAAAAAAAGCCCAGTGTACACCTTCACAGGGTGTATACCCATCAACCTGTGCTTGGTCTTAGGCCATAGAAGGCCACCCCTCTTCCAGGAGGTGGGTGTGGACATGATCCACTGATGTCAGATGTCAGATGATCCCCTGCTCTGCCAGGCCAAGAAAATGGAGCAATTTGTACATGTTCCTGGGGCCGTGGAGTTTAACACAGGCCAGCCAATATTCTATTTCTTGCTAGAAGGACCTGGGAATGGGAGTTCTATGGAAAGGGGAATTCTTCCTAGTCAGGAGAGTTCAGTTATGACCTTTTTTTTTGGTACCAGGGATTGAACCCAGGGGTACTGAACCCCTGAGCCCTGTCCCCAGCCCTTCATATATTTTATTTAGAGACAGGGTCTCGCTGAGTTGCTTAGGGCCTCTTAAATTGCTAAGCATGGGAGCTCCACTGGACTGGGATTTTTTTAATGGGGCTTAGGCAGGAAGGGAAGGGCTTAGGACAGGAAAAGGTGTTGTTAGAGTCCCTTGTCCCATTGGAGTTGGTCAGGGGAGTTGGCTGAGGCTGGCCTCCAACTTGTGATCCTCCTGCCTCAGCCTCCCAAGACGCTGGGATTAGAGATGTGTGCCACCGCATCCTGAGGCCCTGTTTGATTTGGAGCCTGTGGGGAGCTCATGGTGGAGCAAGGTGCTCACTTTATGGCAGCCAGAAAACAGACAGGAAGAGGCCAGGGCTCAGTATCCCCCTCAAGGGCGCACCCACAGTGACCCAAAAACTCCCCACCCGTTCCTACTTCCTTAAGATTCTGTAGCCTCCCAATAGTGCTATAGACTAGTTATCAAGTTTTTTTGCATATGGGACATCGGTGGACATTTTGACACAGAACATAATACTCCTAATACTTCCAGATTGGCAATACCTGAATTGGAAGGAGGATACCTTCAGAAACAGTAGAGTTGTCAGGCGCGGTGACCCACGCCTGTCATCCCAGCGGCTCGAGAGGCTGAGGCAGGAGGATCGCAAGGTGGAGGCCAGCCTCAGCAAAACTGAGGCCCTGAGCAACTCAGCAAGACCCTGTCTCTAAATAAAATACCAACAGGGCTGGGGACGGGGCTCAGTGGTTAAGCGCCCTTAGGTTCAATCCCTGGTACCAAAAAAAAAAAAAAATCCCCCAAAAACAATCGTAATTCTGCTTCATTCTCTGGTGGATCACAGCCATCCGGGGACTTGTGGGACTCCAAACTTTTCTCTAAGTTATGGATCAGCTGGTTACTGTGGGTTCATGACTTCTAAAGTGGAAGTTCCAGGGTTTAACTTGTGATTGAAACGCAAAATTGGAAGCAGGTTGGAGATTCCTCAGAAGACTTGGAATGGAGCCACCATGGGACCCAGGTGTTCCACTCCTTGGTTTATACCCAAAGGACTTAAAATCCGCACACGACAGGGACGCAGTCACATCTGTGTTTATGGCAGCTCAACTCATGATAGCCAAGCTAGGGAACCAACCTAGGAGCCCTTCAACAGGTGGATAGATAAAGAAAATGTGGTCCATATACACAGTGGAATATTATGCAGTCTTAAAGAATGAAATGATGGCATTTGCTGGTAAATGGATGGAGCTGGAGACGATCATGCTGAGTGAAATAAGCCAGTCCCCGAAAACCAAAGGCAGAATGTTCTCTACGATATGGGGACGCTGACTCACAATAGGGAGAGGAGAGAATAGCAGTTCACTGGATGAGATGCAGGGGAGTGAAGGGAAGGGAGGGGCGGGGACCAGGAGAGACAGGGGAATGAATGGACGTCACTTTCCCATGTTCACATAGGAACCCACGACCAGGGACACCCCACAGCAGGTCCAGCCACAGGAGTGGGAAGTCACACCCCCGTGTAAGTGTGATATGGCAGGATGTACTCTGTCATCATGGAGAGCTAAAAATAACAAATTTTTTTTTAAAAAAAGTGAATTTAAAAAGAAAATGAAGCCGAGCGCAGTGGCGCATGCCTGTCATCCCAGCGGCTCAGGAGGCTGAAGCAGGAGGATCGCAAGGTGGAGGCCAGCCTCAGCAATTTCCTGAGGCCCTGAGCAACTCAGGGAGACCCTGTCTCTAAATAAAATACAAAATAGGGCTGGGGAGGCAGTTCTCCTGTCAAGGGGACCCTAGAAAGTGATCACCAGGCCCATTGGCAGCAGGAGGTCACACCAAAGTGTCTGGCATGGGGCTGCTCAGCCCGCTGTCCCCTCAGCCACACACAGAAGAGTCCTCGTGGCTGCTGGGGGGCCCTGGTAAAGTCCCTCCTCCCTCCCCACACCCCCAGTGTGACGTCACCACGTGCTGCTCCAACCAAAGTGTGACTCTGCGGTGACCCAGGAACAGAAGGGAGCGCTGACCCTCTTGGAAGCATCCATTTATAAGAGATTTGGGAAACAGAAATGGGTGAGGGACCCTGCAGCGCGGGGGCAGAGCAGGGCGGGGACAGGGGACCCAGGGGAAGGTCCCTGGTGTCTCCTCCAGGTGGGGGCAGGAGGCTGCTGCACCTCCCTCCAGGTCCGTGAGATCCTGTGTCACCTGAGGAGACAGGGATGACAATGAGCAGCAGAGTTCATCAAACCCACTGTCCCTAGACCTCCCGGGCCCTCCGTGTCCCCAGGGGTGAACAGCCATGGGAAAGCGACATCCAGGAAGGATTCTGGGACATGAGATGTCCGCTGCGCCGCACCTACCTGGCCTCGCGGGGTCTCAGCTGTCGGAGTCCATCAGAGCCACTTTGTTCTGGAACCTTCTACCAGCCTGGTCTCTGTAAGTTGGTGCCACTTGGTTTTGGAGCCTGTGGCCCGCCTTGGGGACCGCCACTCAGCAGCACACGCGGGCCATGCCGGCAGCGATCCTCCTGGACAGTCCCCCACAGCCCTTGCCGCTGTGGCGGGCAGGGCCCAGCGTGTCACCGCAGGGTGGCTGGACCGAGACCAAGCTCTCTTCTGGGAACCCCTGGGAGGGCTTGCTGCTGGTCACCTCCCACATGTCACTGCTCGACCAGGAGCCGGGGAGCCGGGCAGCCAGGCTGGACATGGGGGTGCCCGACTGCAGGCTAGACTCGGGAAGGACCGGCTCGCTGGCTCTGTGGCCCTTCTTTCTGAGTGGCTTGTCCCCCATGAGCAGGGGCTGCCCATCGGGCAGGATGATGGTGGAGCCAAGGGCTGACACGCTGACAGACCTCTGGGGGTGCATGGGGACACTGGAAGGGACCGAGGGGCAGGGTGGAGGCCCAACCTCCGGCCTCAGCGGCTTTAATGGGACTAGGCAGCTGGCCCCCGAGTTTTCTGGTACTGAAGCATGAGGTACGTGGCCATCGCTGCGTCGAACTTTCTGGCTTTGAGGGACATCCAGGTGTCACTCAGCTCCAACATGACCTTCATGATCCAGGGGTCCAGGGGAGGTTCTGTGCATGGACATGGTGGCTCCTGGTCCTCCCCCGGGCTCAGCCACTGGTGCCCCATGACCTGGTGGATCGTGGGTCTCTGCGTGGGGTCCATGGTCAGCATCTGCAGGATGAGGCTCCTGTACCTCTGGGGACCGGTGGGAGGGGACATCGTACCTTGCATGCAGGACCTGCTTTCTCAGCTGCTCGGGGAACCCCATAGGACGGGGTGCCCCAAATCTTGTGGAACTTCTGTCCAGCCTTGAACCTGTGGCCTCAGGTTCAAGTCACCGAGCTTGACAGTGTCCCCCGGCATCAAGGAGGACATTCCCCACCTTCAGGTCTCTGTGCCCGATGCCCTTCGTGTGGCAGTGACCCACGGCACTCACCATCTGCCTGAACACTCTCTGGGCCTCTGCGTCCTTCATTGCCCACAGCCTCGGGGACGTGGTGGCTCAGCGGTCCCCCACCTGCGTCCTCCATCACAATGTGGACAGCCCCCAAGGTCTTGATGACCTCAAAC